TCCGTGGTGGAGGAGGGCGCCGGCCGATCCGCCGGCTCCGGCTTTTTCGCCCAGGCTGCCGTGAGCAACTTTTGAAAGCACTTTTTGACTGTCTTTTTTTGTTTTTAAGGTTGCTCACTTCCTTTTCACTCGCACCAGACTCAATCATTCACCAGTAAAGGTTCGGTGGTTTCCAAAATGCCTGAAAGGGTTTCTGCTAGCCTGCCAGGAGAAGTGAGCCGCGCCACTCGCACGTTCAAAGCATGGTTGTATCATTAACTATCCGTTGTCGCAGAGCCTAATAAGCCTTATCTGAGTTAAGCCCAAGCCTAAGCCTAAGCAAAGCCTAAGCTAAGCCCAAGCTAAGCCTAAGCTAAGCCTAAGCTAAGTCTAGCCTAAGCCTAAGCTAAGCCTAAGCTAGGCCTGGCCTAAGGCTAAGCTAAGCCTAAGCCTAAGTCTAAGCTAAGCCTGAGCCTAAGCCTGAGCCTAAGCCTAAGCTAAGCCTAAGCCTAAGTCCCTCCACACCCTCAGTTCTATCACTAACCCTTGCATGCCGCCCGTTCCTCAGTTTAGTTTTGTTCTGGTCCTAAAGATTCGGCTACACTGCAAATGTCAGCGATTTCAGTGCTTACTGTGCGGAATGGCGTCGACGAGGGCCGTCTCGGCCCGCTCGGATGCACGCGACGATGCGCACCAGAAGCCAGAAGCATTGTTGAGGTGAGTTTCCGGTTTGTAGTCTAGAGGAAACCTCAAAAAAAACACGCAATCGTAACTTGGTATTCTGTCGGTATTTTTGCTATCGGGGTTTTGGCCGACGGGATTATCGCTGTCAGGATTTTGTCATCCGGATTGCTGTCGGGATTTTTGCTCTGGGGAGTATGGCGTCGGGATTTTGTCTTGCTGTTCTGTATTTTTGCTGTCGCTATTTGAGTTGTCGGTATTATTCCTGTCGCGATTCTAGCTGTCGGGCTTTTGGCCGTCGGCATTATTTCTATGGCTGTCGGGATTATTTCTGTCGTGATTCTAGCTGTTGGCATTTTTGCTGTCGGGATTTTTGACCTTCTCGCTGGCACGGAGCACGAAACCCCACCGAAGGTCCAGAGCGACCAAAATGTCCTCCCTGATCAGGTTCTTCAAAAACTACGATAGGCTACAAATTCCGCATCTTTTCTTTGCTCCAAAACTATTCCTCCACCATTCCATCGCGCTCCTTCAATTCAATAGAATTGGTTTGATGTTCGCCCTCCTCCTCCCCGTGATGCCCTCCATCCCCCATTCGAGATCCGCCCTTCCATTCTAAAAAGGTGCCCATTGTAAGGGCCGAAAACCGGGTGCGTGCGGGCTTCTGTCACTGTTTGGATGTGTTCACCCCCCCTCCCTGACTATCGCATTTGTGAGAGCCGCCTGGCTGTATCCCGAGATTTGCATACGGGGAACCAGTTTCATTGTTCTGTCTCTCTTCTCGCTCGCTCTCTCTCTCTCTCTAGCCACCAACTCGGCCCAATGACCAAATATCTTTTGGGGGGCGTCATGGGGAAGGTGTGGAACAGTGGCTAGGATTAGCTACCTGGGGGAGGGGGGGGAAGGCGCAGCATGGAATCCTGAGGAAACTTGAATTTTCCTGAAGCCTGAACTTTCCGGTAGAGCTGTTATTTTGATCGGTTGATGCTTGGAATTTTGAGGTACCGTTCCAAAATCGTGGGGGGTAATTCATTATCGGGGGGGTATCTGAGCGGACCGGCTTTTGTTATGATGTTAGAAGTTCCAAGTAACGTAATAGTAAGTATTTTAATAGTATCGTTCGTAGATTTAACTATATTTTAAATGAAAACTTTAAAAAATTAAATCCGAGATTTTGGCCGAAAATCGGCCATTTTGTGGCAAATCGATTTGTTTTCATTTTTCCAAAAATTTGTAAAGGATTTGCGTTTCGGAATAGTATAAACAGTTCAGATGGATTTTTTAGATCTAAAAACTGTGTAAAAGGCTAAAAATTATTTTCATACAGTTATTCGGCCAGAGGAGTACGGGGAAAATCAGTTTTCCCCCTGCTGAAACCCCCCTGTTAACAGGCCAGTACCGCTCATCGTCCACCTTTTTCAGAATGTCATGGCAGCATTGCTTGACGGCATTCCTGGTCGTCGTCGGTCTTCTACAGTCTCCAGCAGTTCCCTCAATCTTCTCCATCCCTCTCTTTCTCGCCTCCCTCGTCTACATCACATATTTCTACGGTGACTTCTGGCATCGATCCTACCAGACGTTGGGTCGAGATTTAAGGTATGCGAAACGTCAAATTTCCTTAACTTTCTCTACTTCTAGTGGTCTCTACCTAATTCTTCAAGTCAAATTCGACCTATGGCGCCGGATGAAGGATAATAAAAGTATAGGTAAGGGTTTTAAAATTTGGCAAACCTCGCGTTTTTGAGTTTATGCGTTTCTGAAAGTTTTTGAGCGTTTTTTAGGTTATCGAAGCAAACTAATTTTACAATCCGGTGTAGAATTGTGCGCTGATTATGAATCTGCTCTCAAAAATACCGAAAATGGTTTTTTAAAGTTTTTGAAGACATTTTATGCAAAAAAATGGCTAGCTCGACGCGTTGGGGCATAAAAATCCTGTATAACGTTTTAACTATTGTTATTTTGCAAACTCTGCAGACAGAATCCGATTCAGCGCAAAATTCTTCACAAGATAGACGAAAAGAATTTCTAAAAACTTCGATTCCAGGCGAAATCTGGGGTGAAATCGTCGGCCGCTACGGGGACAAGACCGCGTTTATCGACATTGAAACCGGGCGGACGTATTCCTTCCGGCAATTCGACGTCCGCGTCAATCGATTCGCGAATTTCTATCAGGTACGGTAGCGCGCGCGTTGTTGAGAATCGGATTTAGGCCCGTGGGCTTCGGGCCGGAGATGTGGTCGCGATTCACATGGAGAATTCGACGGATTTCGTGGCGGCATGGCTCGGGGCTGCGAAGGTTTGGGGATTTTTGTAGTAATCATGCAAGGAACGGAATGCAGCCTGAACTTGGCGAAATCGTCGGAGGGCTAAATGTTTTCATTTAGGTTGGCGTCGTCACCGCATGGATTAACAGTAATCTTCGACAAGAGCCGCTGGCCCATTGTGTCCATACCTCCAAGGCCCGCGCGGCCATCACAAGCGCTTCGTTGCAATTCGGTACTATTTCTCTCTCACCCTTTCTCTTTCTCTGTGTTCCTCAGGCTCTCTCTCTCTATCTCTCTCGCACCTACACACACTTTCTCTCTCCAAAGTCGGCCTAACGGCGACGTGAAGCCGTTCAATGCTCGAGAGAGCTGCGTCGATCTCTCACGCTATCGCTCTCTCTCTCTCTGCCTGTCTCTTTCCGTCTCTCTCTCCCAACCTCCCTCCATTCCAGCCCTCCTCGACTCCATCTCGGCTGGTCATCTCCAGATGAGCCCCGAGCAGCTGTGGGTCCTCGGCCGACCCAAGGATGCCAAATCGTTAGACCTCGCCGCCCAGCTCGATCTCCAATCGACCCGACGGCCCGCCGCCATCGATAAGATCGACTTTAAGAGTGGGTCTAGGCCATGATTTCGAGTGTTCAAAAATTAGGTGTCCTCTGCTTCATCTACACCTCTGGTACTACTGGTCTTCCGAAGGCTGCTGTTATGAAGCACTTCCGGTAGGCTTAGGTTAAGCCAGAGAGAGAGAGGGAGAGAGAGAGAGATAAAGAGAGAGAGAGAGAGATAAAGAGAGAGAGAGATAAAGAGAGAGAGCGAGAGAGAGAGAGAGAGAGAGAGAGAGAGCGAGAGACCGGAATGAAAATACAATCGACTTTTAAGGTACTACTCGATGGTAAGCGGAGCTGCTTTGGCTTTTGGTGTCCGGCCGTCGGACCGTATCTACGTGTCGCTGCCAATTTATCATACAGCTGCTGGTAAGTCAAGTCCAAGCCCAAACCTAAGCCTAAGCCTAAGCCTAAAACCTAAGCCTAAGCCTAAGCCGAAAGCGAAGCTTAACCTAGGCCAAAATCTAAGCCTAATCCTAATCCTCGGCCTATCCTTCCATCCGTCTTCAAAAATAACTCTTCAAGGCATCCTCGGCGTCGGACAATGCCTGGTCCGCGGCTCGAGCTGCGTCATCCGCAAAAAGTTCTCGGCCAGCAACTTCTGGATGGACTGCCAGACGTACGAGTGTACGGTGGGCTTAAAATTACACCTAGCATCATATTCTGAATACTCTAGGCCTCGCAGTACATCGGCGAGATTTGCCGATATCTGTTGGCGCAGCCAAAGTGCGCCGAAGAGGACAACCACCGGATGCGGCTGATGTACGGCAACGGGCTGAGGGCGGAGATATGGCAAAAATTTGTGGATCGGTAAGCCCGGATTTGGAGTTGGTAGATGGCTGGGCCTCAGATTCGGCGTGCGCATCGGTGAAGTTTACGGAAGTACGGAGGGCACCTCGAACCTCGTCAACATCGACGGCCACGTGGGGGCATGCGGGTTCTTGCCCATCTCGCCGTTGACGAAGAAGATGCACCCGGTGGGTTTTGATGAAGTTTCTAGAATTCTTCGGTCATTTTTGCACGAAAAACCGTTTTTTTTCGTCTTGTATTTATGATGAGGATGTGGCAGTTTTTACGTTTAAGAATAGTAAAACCGTCCCCCATCTCTCCTTAAAACATTAGATCCTTAGAAGAAAAAGGTCGGCTCCACCCCCGATAATGCGAAAAAACCGAAATTTACGCTCGAATCCGCAGAATTTTCCTTGCTTAATCAGTTGTGAGAAGAAAATTAAATTTGGGCGGAGGTAGCTGGACACAGAATGCTAAAAAGCAATCGTCTAGTACCTCCGATTGCGGAACGCAGAAAAAAAAAACAGGTTCAAAAAGTTGGTTTGCTACCTCTGATTAATATATCTAAAAATCAACCGCCCTAATCCAGGTCCGCCTGATCAAAGTCGATGGTGACACTGGCGAAGTTCTACGACGACCTAACGGCTTGTGCGTAGCCTGCGAGCCGGGCGAGACTGGCGCCATGGTGTCGACAATCCGCGCCGACAACCCACTGCTCCAATTTGAGGGCTACTTGAACCGAAAGGAGACCGATCAGAAGATCATCCGCAACGTGTTCGCGGAGGGCGACTCCTGCTTCGTTTCGGGTAAGATCTAAGAAAAATATTAAATAGCAAACGCACGTTTCAGGCGATCTCCTCCATTGGGATCGACTGGGATACGTCTATTTCAAAGACCGTACCGGTGACACCTTCAGGTTTGATCAGAAAAGCAATAATCGTACTGTATTTCTCCAGATGGAAGGGCGAAAATGTTTCCACCACAGAAGTCGAGGCTATCCTCCACCCAACCGATGGTGTGGCCGATGCCACGGTGTATGGCGTGGCTGTTCCTGGTAAGCTTTATATAAATAGGGCTTCTCAACTTTTAAACCCCTAAGCAAACCCTAAAAAAACTATTCTGGTTAAGGAAACGAAGGCCGCGCTGGTATGGCCGCTGTGGTCAGAACGGAAGGGGATGAAAGATCGGAGAATGCCTTCTTGGATTCGCTAGCTGGTGGGTAGAATCCAAAAATAAATTCACAGGCTTTCCATCAAAGAAGTCCCCACAAAACCAAATTTCAGAACGTTTGATAAACTCGCTACCTTCCTATGCAGTGCCCCGGTTTATCCGGCTCTGTCCGCACGTCGACAAAACCGGTAGGCAGCAATATCCAAACCTAGCTTCAATCATTTGCAGGCACCTACAAGCTCGTCAAAACAAATCTGCAACGGCTCGGCTACAGCGGCCAAGCCGACGGCCACCGCCTGTTCGTCCTCAGTTCGAAGCTTCGCAGCTACGAGCCGCTCGACGATGAGGCGATTCGATTAGTCGATGGCGCTCGCCATCCCAGTCTATAATCTTCTAATCTAACTAGGGAAGTGCAAATAAAAAACCCAACAAACCGCTTAGCAAAAATATGGGTCTGATAGAGTCGGCGACGGGGATTCCGAAACTGCAATCAGAATTTGCTAAACGCTTAATACAAAATAGTTATGAGCATTTTAAGTTTTGCACTACATTCCCCGCCCTCCCTTATGAGCCCCTCCCAAAGATGGGTGGCCGCCTGTCGAGTGGTGTAGTGGCTAACTACCATGCCTCTGGGGCGGAGGGTCTCTGGTTCGACTCCCCGGTCATGCAAAACTTTTTGCTTTTTGGTCAAAGTCAACAACTTTAGACTTTTTCAAAGTTTCGAAGCCGAAAAGGTCGTTCTCTTAATTTTTAAATTTATGAAACTGATTGAAAAGTGGTGGCGGGAGTGTCAGTAATCTTGCGGATAGGGCACTAATAAAATTCACTTCTATTTTTTCGTAAGGCAGGCCTAGACGCAGTCAATAATAAAGACAATTTTAAAAAATCTAAATTTCGGACTTCGAAACTTTGAAAAAGTCTAAAGTTGTTGACTTTGACCAAAAAGCAAAAAGTTTTGCATGACCGGGGAGTCGAACCAGAGACCCTCCGCCCCAGAGGCATGGTAGTTAGCCACTACACCACTCGACAGGCGGCCACCCATCTTTGGGAGGGGCTCATAAGGGAGGGCGGGGAATGTAGTGCAAAACTTAAAATGCTCATAACTATTTTGTATTAAGCGTTTAGCAAATTCTGATTGCAGTTTCGGAATCCCCGTCGCCGACTCTATCAGACCCATATTTTTGCTAAGCGGTTTGCTGGGTTTTTTATTTGCACTTCCCTAGTAAGCCCAAAAACCTTCTAAATATTTAGTCAAAAGAATCTCCCATTCGCAACAGACAAATCCCCCATCCCGCCAAAGATACCAGTGCTCGCGCAAAGAATCAAAAAGCCATTGTCTCGATCACCCCGCGCATATCTTCCCCCGTTGGTGCTCAGCCTTTCCCTTGCTAATCCTAAATTTTCGTTTTTGTTTTTTAGCTCCCAGACCTCAGAATCAGCGAATTCGGCTAGTGGTCCCAGCATTGAATTGCATTTCCCTAACTTATGCCAAAATTTATCGGTGCCCTGTACAGACACGTGTATGCCCCAATTTTTCGGCAAATCCCCCGAACCCCCGAAATCCATATCTTCGCATTTTGTCCCACTTTATCTACGCTGTGTGTCCCTCCCAAAAATTCGTTTGCCATAGTCCAATCTTTCAGCTCCGTCTCCCCGTTTAGCCTCGTGTAGCACCCGCCTGTCCACAGCCCCGAATTGTTCATGATTGTGCCTTTGAGAAATTAACGATAAAATTATATCGAAGTCACGCACTTAAAACAGCCACCCAGCTGCACAATAACCCATTTATTTACCGGCTAATCACAGTTTCAAGATATACAATATACAACATGTAATTTGGTTGGGGCAAGGGGATAGTATGAGCGGTAGAGGCACTGTTTGCGGGGGAATGAAAGTCAATAAAGACGCTGGCGCAGCCAGAAGGATAATGTCATCGCATAGCAGCGAAAGACGGGGGCACCATGATATGAAAAATATAATCTGGAAATACACAAGGAAAACAATTGCAGAATAGAAACGGGATGCTTCATCATCGAGGCCGCTTCACCGTGATCTCTATCTGAAAATGAACATGTGAGGTAATAACGAAACGATGATTTACCACTCGAAGTCCGCGAAACATGGGGTTGAGAATATGGACGCCGACTGGACCGTAGACTTCTTTATTTTCTTGCGCGAGTAGCCGGTCGATCTAGAAACTTCACAATACAATAAACTCTCGCGCACCTCGTCCAGTTTTTTCTCGTATCTCGTCTTCACGAATAGACGAATCAGATAGCATGTCGCGCACCCGAGCAACGTTTCGACAACCGAATCTGCGCACACCTCAAATTACCAACTTAGAAGAATAAAATTGTCAATACCCTTTCAGCTTCCGTAAATTTTTCGTTTATTGCCCGTATCGTTCTCCGCCAGTCAGCTTCACGTACCTAAACGGAAGCTGATAAATCGAAAACCATTCGTTAACACACCCTTCCTTGAAGCATATCTGGCACCTCGGTGTCGAATTGAACGGCCAGCCCCTTCGAGTAGTCGCGTGCCACGAAACATCGGTCTTCGTCCATCGTTTCAATTTCCATGCCTGAAAAGAGGGGTGTTTTTTAATCTTAAAATCAAATAATAGGCGTTATATAAACAAAAACTAGAAAATATATTAGTTTTAGCAAACTTTGATACATTTCTGAACAGGGGTGTTCTGCGTCTTTTCCCCACGGATTGTCGGGAGGGCAGTTCGGGTACGGTGGGGTATTTGCTAGAGCGCGCTATAGGCAACGACTCAGGGACGTGGACCGTGAAGAGTATGAAAACGGAAAAAAGGATAATTTTTGCCAAACCGCTGAATCTTGGACAAAGTTAATAAATAGACGGTTTAAAAGCTCTTGAAAAGTAAAGGTTTTTGAAAGTCGATGATTACGATATTTAACTATATTAGAACCAAACGGTCCCCGTTTCCGAAGCAAACGATTCCCGAAGTTCGAAAGTAGTTGACAGACCGCAGGAGGGAAACGTGTTGGGCTTGAGGGCCGAATCGCGGTCAAATTAACACGCCGTCGAGTGGCCTGAAGGGGTTGCAGGCTCAGATTTCACGTCTTCTCGCCCCGGGGTAGGGGGGGCTTCACTCGATCTACCCGATCCCTCTACACAAACCGACGCGCATTCCAGCACGCATGCACCCATCATGGCCATACGGTCATTCTTGGCCCCAGAATCACATAACTAGCTAACAAAGCATTTAGAAGCCGCCGCCCCGACCCCCCTTCCGTCGCCAAAATTGTGGCCCGCTTTGAGTCGATTGTGATCCTGGTTTTGGGAGGTTTGAGTTAATACTAGGTTCCTTCGCATTATCGGGGGGACGAACTTTTTATAGGATCTAATTCTTCAAATATAAATAGTGGGCTGTTTCTAAAAGTTTTCTACTATTCCTAAACGTGAAAACTTTACAAATTTGTATTAAAAAATATCAAAACGCTCGATTTTTCGACCGAAAAAGACCGATTTTTTTAACTAAAATTCTACTTCTTTATTCAGGTCTCCTAATGGTGCCGGCCGCGATGAAGCTGCTGTCACTGATCGCGTTTGGCGTTGCACGGGTGATCGGCTCAAAACAGGGACAAATCGGACAAGTACGCTACTTTACGCTAATACTCCTCTTTTTTTAGTGTTTGGACAAATCACCATATTGCAATGCGAACGACTGCTCGGTCCGGCCGGGGTACGCCCTCCAGTTTTGCCGGAAAACTTGCGGCGACTGTGGCGGTTTGAACATGAATTTTCAAACTTTTACAGCTTCCTATAGCTTTAGACTTTTGCGAAAACTCGGTGTACGTTTCATGTAAAGAAGAGCGCAAAGCGGAATGTCAGGAGATGCTCAAGGTATCGGCGTACCTTCAAAGAAAGTAGTTTTTTCAGGATTACTGCCCGATTCTTTGCGGTCTATGCACGCCCTCTAGAAACCAAACACTCAGAGCGGGGCTAAAAATCGGTAGGTGTTCTTCTTTTTCAATCCGCTCCCTTCCTAGATCCAAAAAAGCCGCTAAAATACAAAATTTTTGATAAAAGCCAAGCGTCGACGCTGCAGACGACCGTTTCTATTGTGGGTTTTTATCAGACATCGGGGTTAGCGGGCGGAGCCCGCTAACCCTTTTTGGGTTGAGTTACCCCCCCGCGCGGCTCTTTTTGGGTCCTTTTCCCGATTTCAGCGGCAACTATGTACCGGATCGTAAAACTAAATATACCACCGGAACCGGCCGGATTTTTTGCATAAGATCGGCTTTTCAAATTTTCAAAAAAGTTGTTTTTCGAATTTTAAGAGCGGTTTTATTTTGTACTCAGAGGGGGGGGGTCTGCGTTTGTCAGGATGTCTTTCCGTCCGCAAAACCTTTGTAGTCGTCGAAAAGTGCCTTCCCATGGACGGTTTTGGCTGAAAATTTGCACAGCTATTGGCTTAATGCTAATCTCGGTGAGGAAGAAGCGTTTTTTTCAAAATAGGCCTTCAAAAAATTTTTATGGAACTTTGAATTTCAAAATTTAAATTTTGGCCAAAAGGTGTCTTATCAAGGTCAGCTTGGGCTGAAATTTCTCATAGGGGTGCACTGTACATTGTTTTAGTATTAACTGAAGAGATTATCGCAAGATAAACGTTCTACGTTGAGATACGGCCGGATTACGTGAAAATCTGACGTCGCAATACGGGGCGCGCGCCCTTTCTGTCTGGGCCTCTCCTTGCCCTCCCCACTAATAGAAGACCTCCATCTCGTCCCCCGGCGCCAATTAACAGACCCCACTTTTGTTTTTATCAACTTAATTGTTTTGGATAGGACGATTTTAGCACCGATGATCTACCTTTACGGTAATCACTACGAGCGTGCCATTCGCGAGCCGATATTTTTGGCTTTGGCTATTTAGGGTCAGCGCCACAGGCAAAAAAATCATAATAATACGTGGTAAGAAGCGCTGAAAGGGAAATGATGCAATTAGTAAAAATCATAAGGGGTCTGACCATGATGTACGATTATTATAGCAAGGCCCTAACCATTCTTACGATGGAAATCATCATTTCCTGGGTAAAAGCCCCGAGTAAATACCCAATCCCCAAGTAGAGAGATATGCAGACTAGATGGGCTAGCGCAAATTTGAAGCTTTCCGAAATGTCGTATTGAGCCGATAAGAATTGAGTAGCAAGCGTATTTGTGTTGCTTGTTGTATTATAGATAGCTCCAGCTCTTTTGCAGAAAGATTAGGTGACGTGGAGGGCGGCTTTGTCGGGCATTAGTGCGCCTCAGAGTCGGGACTCGTTTGAGGTCAGGCAGATAATGATAGCGACATCTGCCCTACCCGGGAATAATAAAGATATCCCCCGTTCCCGCCAAATACAAAAAAAAAACTCTTCTGCACGCAAGTGGAAGATTATAAGAACAGAGTTCGGTCAAAAAGAGCAAAATTCTCTTTAGCTAAAAAGAGATTCTTTTAAAAAAAGGGTTTTTGGGTTCGAAAAAAGAGCGAGATTCTCTGATGCTGCAAAAAGCGTCAAATTCCCTAACCTCCGAAAAATGAGAAAATTCGAAGGATCAACCAAAAATTGCTGGCACCTAGGGAAACCTGCCGAATTTTGGCACTTTAATTGGTTTTTTCATTTCGGCACGTTGAAATTTTTCTGCTCTAGTCTTAATTAAAAACAAAATCGAATATAAAAGTAATAATGATGATATTTTCAAACACGTGGTTACCTCGTGATACGGCGAGGTGACGAAGAACATCGAAAAGCTGCAAAAATGCCAAATATTGGAAGTGAATGGCGTTTGAAACTGCGCTTTGTGCCTGTACCCGGCAATTTTTGGTTGATCCTTCGAATTTTCTCATTTTTCGGAGGTTAGGGAATTTGACGCTTTTTGCAGCATCAGAGAATCTCGCTCTTTTTTCGAACCCAAAAACCCTTTTTTTAAAAGAATCTCTTTTTAGCTAAAGAGATGTTATTTATGTTGCTCATTTAGAGATTTGAACAGCCAGATGGTGATGGGGCTGAGGTAGGTCTAATTTTTTTTTACTGAAACTTTTTAGCGGCCCCTACACACCACAATAATTCCGGCGATCACGAAAAAGATGATCCGGAAGAAGCCGAAAAAGGAGAAGCCCATCAATCCTATTATTTTGAATACAGCCGAGCCGCCGACGACTTTAAAAGAGTATCGAAAAGCGCATAAGAGTTATTTTACAAATTAGACCCGAGCCGGTGCTCGCCGAAAGCACCCCGATCAGGTTTGCGCGCCCACAGAAGGTGTTTCCGCTCACGACCGAGATTACGGTAGTTGATCAGCGTTTTAGAAAATATTCTTTAGAGCGAGCCCACCTCCGATGACCCGATGCCATCACACCATCAGCCAGATGGCGATCACGAGACGTTGAACGAGCCGCATGCCTGGGCACAGTCTACGAATGACTATCGGAAAATGGTTTGTTGTAGTTTGTACCTGTAGTCAGTAGGATTTTGTAGTAGTGTTTCATCCCATTTTTAGTTGTATTTTGTAGTCTGCAGTCGGTTGCTACAATTTTTCAGTCCGAACTTGAGCAGCTCGAGGAGGAGAACACGGATTGGGCCCAGGAGGAGCTGATGAACGGTCAGTTTTCGGGTTTTTACAGTCTTAAAAATATCATTACGCAACATAATTAGTGTTGTCCTGGACCGCGACGCATACGCGACGCGTGCCAATGACCGTAAATAGGGAAATAATGGAAATGCTTTGGAAACAGTGGAATTTAGGGCTTCCCCAACCGACCCGCTACAATCCCTACTTTATGGTGCCTGCGCAGCGAATTGGTATGTTTTTGCCGGGAAATTTTTGCTTTCTAATCTCTCTCTTTCTCTTTCTCTCTCTCTCTCTCTCTCTCTCTCTCTCGCTCTCTCTCGCTCTCTCTAAAACCAATTCTCAGGCGTCGGTGACGTAGCCTTATGGCGCAACAGCCTACTTGACGACGGCCAAAAAGACGACCTCCCCTTCTACCCTCACCATTTTCGAAGGTCAGCCCCGCTTCTATACGATGCCCTTCCTACCGTACCCATTCCAGACAACACCCCCTCCCAACCTATTCCCCGCCAACGATACGCTACAATCGACTGGCCCCCTCGCGAATGCGCCCCAGCCACCGTATACCCCACCCCAAACCGCTGACGATAGATGCCGTTGATATGAATATGTTAGGGAGCGCTGAGGTGAGCGGTACTGGACTGTTAGCGGGGGGGCTTTATTAATTTTCTCGAACGGTAAAAGGCTCTTTTTATATTTTAGGACGCTGTTTTCGGCGGTTTTTTCAAAATATTGAAAAATATCGACAATTTAACTCCCTAAATTTTCAATCCTAGATTTTTAACAAATTTTAGTACCCGACAATGGTTCCAACATTTACCCCGGCACACCCGATCGGACCGGAATGGCGCTTCACCGATTCTCCCTACCACCTGTCAGCCCGTGGCCGACACGTAGAACTGGAGCCCCAGGAGGATACGGTAGATTGAGCACTACTTCCAGTGACAGGTTTCAGGGCGCCGTTGAGCGTTTCGACGCCTACTCGGATGACGCTGAGCCGGAGCATGAGACACGGAATTATGGGAGGAAGGCGAGAAAGTCGGAGAAACCGAACGGAGAGGTAAGGACTAAGGGCAGGCTGGCAGAGATTCCTACGGTAATTCTGGCAGCGGCGAGTAGGATGGTAATCTAGCAAAGATTATTGTGGAAATTTTTTAAGGAGTTCGGAGAGAATAGTAAGTCCGCCAGCTAGCAACGATTATTACGGAAATTCGGTGGTGCTTTCGCATTATCGGGAGGGGGACGGTTTTTGAGAGGGAAACGGCATTTGCAGTCTCATAATAGAATTTTATAAAAATGAACTGTATTTGAACCTCTTTAAAAAATTAAAAAAATTTACTTTTTTGTTGGAAAAGTCGATATATTTTTGGAATTTGACTTAACTTTTTAATTATCATTTGTAAATTTTCAAACAATAGTAAAAAAAACGGTTTACAAGTAGTTACTCTATTTATATAAAGAAAACTGGTTAATAAAAAAATGGTTTCCCCTTGGTAACCCCCCGATAATGTACAAGAAGCTGAAATTTTCCTCCTATTGCGTATCGCGCGACGCCATATAGAAGCGCGTAACCTGGCGAACCAGCAAAGGTTATTTGGGAAAATTTTTCGGCTTTTAATTTGCGGTATTTTTATGCTGTATAATTACTTTTTAAGATCTCGGCCCCCTCACCAGCCACCGGAGTCGACCAGTCGCATATGCGGGTGATGGATCTGATCACGCTATTGGGTACTGTATCCCGGGCTCAACTTTTAGAAATTGAGCCTAGGCTGCCGAGATAGAGACGTCACAACGTGTGCCCATATCAGCGAGGAAACCTGCCGAACGAGGCCTGGGTATTATTTAAAGCTGTGCCCGGTAAAGTGCAAGAATTGCAATGGTAAGTGGCTATAGGAGCGTAGCGTAGTCCTGCCTGTCTTTTAGGCCTCCTCTGCTACGACTCGGAGAAAATCGACTGCGCTTCGGTGAAGAAGAAGGGCGGGTAAGTACTCATCCTCTTGAAATCGCGAAATCTTCCTTAAAATTTAAAAAATTAAATCCTAAAAAAATAAAATTTAAAGTTAAAAGCTGAATCTTAAAGCTTATTAAATCCATTAAAAAATACCAAACTTAATTCAACATTTAGATGTAAAAAACAGCGAGCCACCGAGTATTGCCCTCGAACGTGCGACGCTTGCCCGACGATGCCAGCGTTTTTGGGTAAAATGAACAACGCTATACTCCCGGAGCTTTCGCATTATCGGGGGGAGCTATTTTTTTACAAGTCGATAAATGCCTGGTCACTCAACAAAAAATATTTTAATAGTGTTTTAGTAAAATGGAACGATATTCAAAGTGAAAAGCAATCCAAAAAAAATTCGAATAATTTCTATTCCAAATTTTGGTGAGGAATTGACCGGTTTTGGTCGAAAAATCGATGTTTTCTGTGTTTTTTTAATAGACATTTGTGAAGTTTTCATGTGTAGGAATAGTAAAAAATCACTTAGAAACATCCGCTGTTTATAAATACTGTTTCAGAGGGCCTCTCTCGTTGCAAGGACGAGCTGGAAACGTGCGAGCAGCTGGCGACGACCGGCGTTTGTGACCATCCCTATAGGTAGGTATTTGCTACGATTACGAGGGTGCTACGAAAAATTGCAGCCAATCGGCGATGCGGATGTACTGCGCGAAGAGCTGCGGCTTCTGCAAGGACGCCACGTATTATATGACGGAAGCGCCGCAGAAAGACGAGCAGAAGCTGCCCGGGTAGGATCGAGTTTTTTTAAACACTGCTCGAAAAAGTAACGCGGGCATAAGATAAACTTGTAAAGTAGAGCCTGGCGTAGTTCAACTTTTGGCAACGCTACCCGTTTATTTCCGTTTTTTTTTATGCGCGGACTTTGGCAAGATCTCGCTTGCAAAACAGTAACGCGCGCATAAAATAATCGTGCGCATTGGAGCCTTGCGTAGTTCAACGTTTGGCAACACTGTGCGCCTATTCACGCCTATTTCTGTGGTTTTTATGCATCAACTTTACAGTATTCACCACATGAACGAATCGCGGCCAGAAAAAGTGCAATGTGCGCATAAAATAGGGGCGTTTATTGGACCTTCGCGTAGTCTCCCGTATACCGCGCGACGCACCTATCCACACCTATTTTGTGTTTTTTTATGCATCGACTTTGGCAATATTCGGCTTAGAAGAGAGCGCGAGAAAGCGCGCAAGGTGCGCATAAATAGGTGTGTGCATTGGAGCCGTGCGTAGTCCATCTCGAGCAACGTTCTGCGCCGATTGTGCTTTTTCAGATTAACAGAAAATCGCATTAACCTAAAGGGGGCAAGGCGCGCAGGGAAAGACCGTGTCCAGTGTATCCTGGCGTAATCAGTCCCCTAACGCTACGCGCCTATCCGCGCGTTATTCCTGGGGCCTCGAATCCTATATTTTACCCTTTTTGACGCAGGGATCTCCGAAAAACCGAGGACGAGCTGGAGCAGCTGGTCAGCCAGAATAAAATCTAACGAAAAATTGTTGTTTCTGTGATCTCCGCTTGGTGCATTTGAATAAATACGGTTCACCCCTATATCACAAACTTTTTATTACATAGGCAAAAAGTGCAAAACCGAAATCACAAGGACGAGATCAACAGGAGGGGACGGTAAACTCGTATGTTTGAGTGAATGACCGAATCGAGACGATAAGTTTGTGGGCGGAGGAGCCCATGAAAAAAAAATGGAAAATAAAACACTTTTCAAGTGACACGGACTAGGCAACTATTTCTAGACATCAGCACCGCAGACTACAATAGATTCCTAATGACGACGTTGAGCACCTGGGGGGTACAAAGTACAGAGTACAGGGTAAAATAGACGCTCCAAAAGTTGGAGCTAATCGATTATCGGGTCCGGAGGGTTTTAAATAGGGTAAAAAGGGGCAATTTAACAAATATAGCCCGGTTCGCACGGTAGGATTTTCTCCATTTCTTTTTTGTAATAATAAACCTGTAATTAAATATTTCGTAAGTCTTAATTTAAGGTCTCAGAGCATACTTTACTTACTTTTATAGGGCAAAAAGTGTTTTAGGGCCGTAATCCTTACCATTAATACTTAACAAGGCGTGCGAACCGCGCGAGACTTGCTATTTTCCTCAAAAATCATGCAAAAATTAATTACTCCAGCGGTTTCGTCCGTGATTTGTGCAATCTCCGTCTCGCTGGGCCGTCCTGAGTCCTGTAATGGAATTTTGACGCTTTTCTAGGCCTTATAAAACCATTAGATAGCCGACAGCGCTTGTTAAAAGTTAAGCCCCGCACTCGGACTTACCGCCAGGGAAGGGGATAGGGATTATCTAGAAAAGAAAGGGACAGTTAGGGAAAGCGTAGAAAAACTGTTTTTCGCTCCGGGACCAACCTGAGAAACCGTGAGGCTCCCTTGATGAGCTCCAACCGCCCGAGGCACACGCAGCACGTCATGCCCGATGCCGTCAGCATGCAGCTCATCTCCTGGTTGTCGTACTCGGAGCAGTCGACCAGGTCGATATGCTCGCATTTCGCTGAAAAGGGATTGGGTTTTTGGCGAAGTGTATAGGGTATGTAGAGCAATTATCATTTTTCCATTATTTTGAATTTTTTTATCACCGGATTTTGTGGAAAATAGCTTTCAAAGCCCTATAATCGGTTATGCCACGAAACTCAGCCTTTAAAAATGGAAACTGTGCTCGAAAATCTCGTGAAGATTTTGCTTTCCATTATTAACAAAGATTTTTTAACGTATTTTATAGTTGCTTTAAATACTTTGATAAATATAATCTAAATACTATTTACAAACCCTCGAAAAATTTAAACAATCGAAATTTTTCTTGAAAATCGACCATTTTGTCCAAAAAAATCGATCTTTTTGATTTTTTATAGCAATTTGTAAAAATTTTCGTTTCTAAAAGACTAAAACTGTGTGGAGCTTTCTGAAACCCACCTGATTCGACCACAGTTGACGCCACCGAGCGCCTGGCCCGGGAAACGGACTGCACGAGAAGTTCGGCAAACTCGCGGCGCTCCCGGTCGATGTTGCGTATCGTTTGCGCTCGTCTGGCTTGCCTGAAAGAGTCAAAAATGAGACTATATACTTTGCTATTTTATTTTAACTATTAAAAACAACAGCAAAAAAACCCCTAAAATTTCCGGATAACCAGTAAAGTGCAGCGCCTATGTTGTGACGGCCAGATGGCTCATTACAGCGTGGAACTCGGGGAGGAGGAAAAGCTGGAGAGCTTGTTTGTTTTATAGTTTAAGGGTTGAGAAAACACCCGAAATTTGCGGCTATAGCTTATCTGGGCCAAGCGTAAGATTATGTAGAGAAAATTATGGTCGATTTTTGACCAAAATTTCGCATTTTCGAATTTTTTTTTTTAGTTGTCAGACAGTTTATCGACTTGAAATAGAGATAAATGTTACCAAATAGCATATTAAAATACTCACCATTGCATTACTCGGCACTTCTGGGCTTATACAAACAAAACTTCGGTACCCCCGATAATGGTACAATACCAATTTTTCTAACTAAAATTATTATTTTTACGAATAAAACTAACGTCGCTACGGAAAAGCCGCTAAAAGGTAATTTTTGTAAACGTCAAAACCTAGCAAAATTATCCCGCAAAAGCCGCCAGATCAACGAACGCCTAAAGTACATCTCCTCGTTGCAAAAAACCTCTACAGCCACATGTCTTCACAGGATCGTGGTGGCCAGTTTCAAAACTTGTTGTCAGGATCCGTCAACCCCATTGAGTTGTTTTTGGCGGGCTATTCAGCGCCGCAAGGTCAAAACAGAACTGTGTCTCATGGTTTCCCCTGGTCGGGTATTTTGGGCCCTAAGGTTGGGGCCCAAGATATTGGGCCCGCGGAGAGGGCCCAGAGCCCCCACAGAGTTAGGGGGATCCACGAAATCCGGCGGCAAACACGTATACCGAAGGCTACAGCCGGGGCCCTGTTTCCACAGGCCATCTCCGGGGGCATGGGGGGGAGGTCCAGGAGGGCCCTACGGCCAAAAAACAACAGCCGCGCCGCCGTCGGCTTTTCCTGTAGGCTACCGATTCCCGACAACTGTGCCTTTACGGTTGTTTATCCATGGCACGGCTTGGAGGGGTATAAAGAGACGCTGAAGATGGCTGAAGCCAAGCAATTCGCTACACAACCAACAACTACTACTAACTCAAGGTGGGTTCTTTGGCTTTGGCTTAATGGGCTTAGGAGTGGTTAGGCTTAGGTTTTGGCTTAGGTTTTGGCTTCGGCTTTAGCTTACGCTTACGCTTAGGTTTAGGCCTAGGCTTGAGTTTAAGCTTTGGTTTGACTTAGGCTTCGGCTTAGACTTTGGTTTAGGCTTAGGCTTAGGCTTGGGCTTAAGATCTGGCTTAGGATTTTGCTTAAACGAGGCTTAGGCTTAGGCTTGAATTTAGGCTTTGGTCTGGTTTAGGCTTAGGCTTGGCTTAGGCTGAAGCGTAGGCTGAGACGTAGGATTCGGTTTCGACTTAGGCTTCGGTTCTGGCTTAGGCTTAAGCATCTCAAGCTAAGCTAAAAAATTTAGCCTTATTTAATGTGGAAAACTATCTCAAAAAAAACTTCAAAAATTCGCAATTCTGATCGAAAATCTATATTTTTTGCATTTTCGATACAAAAATGCCACCACCACCCCCGATAATGCCATAGAACCCAAATATCTAGCTGCAAAAACCCTAAAAAATTCCAGATGGCTACCATGGAGCTGAAGGGACACGACGACAAGCTGTGGGACTGGCCCCTCCAGGGACAGGACGGCGTTGTCAGGGTAAGAACTATACTTCTCCGCCTACCCTGGGTGGGCCCCCCCTAGGGGGACAGAGGGGGACTGAAAGGGGGATGGTGGGGCCCCCGGGGACCACCCATCCCCCACCCCCAACCCCCCACCCCCACCCCCACCCCCACCCCCACCGAATTTTCGCTATGCCGAATTTTTGCTACTCTACTACTAATATTCTCTACTAATATTAATAACTAAGATCGGCTGGGACTTTGCGGTGCAACGGAAAATCTGCTGCGCCTAGACCTACGATCTGCCCACGTTTTTGCAAACTTCTAGGCTAACTCTAACTTTCTAGGCGCATCTATTTGGAAAAAAAACAGTAAAAAATGGGGAAAATACCGCTTATCAAAATTGGTATGGCGAAGATTCGGCATGGTGAAAATGCGGTATCGTGAAAATCGGCATGGTGAAAATTCGGTATACCAAAAATTCGGCATAGCGAAATTCGGTCTAGCGAAAATTCGGTATAGTGAAAATTCGGTATAGGGAAAATTCGGTATAGTGACAATTCGGCATAGCGAATGGAACTGGTAGATGCCATACCTTCATGCCTCAGGGGTAGGGGGCGGTCATTGGGGGTCCCCGGTGTCCCGGGGCCCCACCATCCCCCTTTAATCCCCCCTCTGTCCCCCCTAGGGGGGGCCCACCCAGGGTGGGCGGAGAAGTATAGTAAGAACTATAGGCCTTGATCTAACCCCCTGAACATCTCCAGGTCCACGAAGATGACAAGCACTTCGAGGTCGGCCTCGACGCCACCTACTTCACCGCCAAGGACATCAGCGTCAAGGTGATCAACGACCTCATCCAGATCAACCTGGAGCACGAGATCCGCAACGACAAGTTCGGCTCGGTCACCCGCGCGATTAGCAGGTACGGTAGCGAAAGCGAGAAATATTGAAATCTCTATAATCGGTTACGCTACGAAATTCAGTCCAAACGGTTACTTAAAAATTAGGTTCTTTTGCATTATCGGGGGGACGAAATTTTTTGATAAGTCCAGAAATGCCGAATATCTGGAAAAAAGAAGTAGAATAAAAAAGACCGCCCGATAATGCAAATGCACCAGAAAACCTCGGAAATCTGATTACGACTGGAAATTATATCCAAGAGCCACTTTTACAAAATCAAATCCCATCTAAATTATTTTTCCAGGTGTTACCACCTGCCGAAGGGCGTCGACCCGAAGACGATCAAGAGCAACCTGTCCAACAATGTGCTCTTCATCACCGGCCAAAAGAAGTAGAACAACGTCGCCGACAAGCAAATATTTATGCCCACAAAATGTACCTAGTTTTTGCCACCCCCCGACTCACTTGCCTGCTCAATAAAAATTTGGATCCAAAAAATTGCAAAAAACAATACGAATAGCTAATAAACCTAAAAAAAAGACTTTAAAAGCCTTAAAAATGGATATCTTACAACGAAACCGAAAATATAAAACCACCGGTTAGAATTTTAATAAAATCATATTTTAAAGAAATTACAGCATTAAAAACGTACCGCTCTCGGCCCCAAAACCCGTTGAGCGCCTTCAACGTGTCGGGCCGGCCCCGAATCAACATATCTGCCTGGACAAAGTAGTCGAGTGTCGCCGCTGTCAGGAGCCACAAAAAGTGGGCTAGTCGCATTCTATAAAGACTTGTTTATTTGAGTTTTATAAACAAAGACTTAAAGTGAAAACGAGGAAAAACATGAAGTTTGGACAAATTCTTAACGCCTATTACAAGATCTAGGCTAATTTTTAAGTAATCGGCGTTCCCTCTTGTTTTGGTTTCAGCCGTACTGCTTGCGGGGGGGAAGACATTTCCCACTCTGAACAAAATAGTATTTGCACTCAAATCATCATTAAAATCGTTTCGTAAACTTCTAGCAATCAAAAACTACCAAGAACTTTCTAAAAATACACTATTTAGTATTAACACCTAGGCATACGCGGAAAAACAACAATTAGCTTCACCCCTGCTACCCTAACCCCCGCTAACAGTCCAGCACCGGGTTGAACTACATCCTTAAACTTTCCTAGGGTTCATTAGAAACGCTCGGTGGTCGGTAGCGGAACAAGACGCCGGAAAAAGGCTCCCCCCAAATTTAACCGACCAAAAGGACACATCCTCTAATTTGGCGATACTCGGCGAGCCCATAGCACCCCACAAAAATGCCTAAAGTCTCGAAAATCGAGCCCTCCTCCGGGACCAATGTGTCACCTTTTAAAGCCCCCCTCTACGGTAAATAAATATAATTTTTAACGAATCTAATCGGCGCGGGGAAATGCCCGCCTCTGCATTTGGTCCTTCAAAAATCTGCTGGCCGGCAATGTTTTTGCGCTATCGTATCCGGGTGGGCGCGCGGAGCCGACGAATCAAATTTTGGCCCAAAACTGGGGTACATTCAGGGAAGGGGGGCCGTTGAATTTTGAATGGTTTTCGTGCTCAACCGGGGGGTGGGGGCGTGATTTTGGGTGTGTGAGAATGATTTCGATTAGCTACGTCGAAAATTGTTAGACTGGAAGTTGAATGGGCAGGGGCGAGCTCGTCGGGGTCAGACTTCCCGCTCAAGCCGGACACGGCAAGATCGGTACTGGACTGTTAGCGGGGGGGGGAGGGTTAGCAGAAATCTAACCAATGTTTGCCGAGTAACCCCGTAAGGCCCTATTAACGACCAATAAACCATTTTTATGGCATTTTAAGTAAAAATTTCATTCGAAAACGGTTGTAAAATGACCAAAACTGTCAAACATCTAAGAAACTTTAAATATTAACATACAAACAACAAATAGTTTTTCATGCCTGCGAACCTACCCCCCCCCGCTAAGAGTCTAGTTCCGCAAGAAATAAGCTCTTCCCAAAGCCCACCAATATTAACCTCTGATCTTCCTCGTCCACCCCAAAAATTAGCCGGCGCCGAAAAAAGCATTTTGTTTGCCCGCAGGCCGGCCGGCTGACCGATGAAATTCCAGCCCAAATTTCCCAGCCGCTGACGAATGCCCAAGTCCCCGAAATATTTGCTGCACTTTTTAGCACGCCGATTTTGCGAAAATTAAGACCCGGAAAGCCGTGGGCCGAAAAAACACACGTGACTATAACAATGGGTGCAGAAACTTCCGGTTCTAGTTCTTTAAAGGGGGGGAGTAATTTCCTTTATTTGACGTCCTACAGTAGCAATAATCAAAAATAGGGTCATTCATGCTATTTTAAAGTTTCGCTTTGAATCTTTGAAAAATCAGGAAAAAATCATTAAAAATTAAAGTTTCAAACTTGAAAAATCACAAAAAGGCTGCAATTTTGGATCGTATTGCAGACATTTTTAACGAAAAAATACATTACACCAGGCCCCTACTAAGAAAAATTTATCCTCCCCCCGCTAATGAACCAGCACCACCATTCCCAAGCGATCTCTGCTAGCCGGCCTTCTCGTCCGCGGATAATCCTTTTACCTGCGGGGGTCACCGTTTAGTAAACAAGTGTTATGGTGGTCAGCCATCGGAGCCCATTGGAGGGCTGTGTGTTTGTAGGGGGTGACGTCCTAATTGGCGGAACAACAAGTTCGACCCCCGCTAAATTCCGGGTCCCCGCGCTGTCTAGCAGAACCGATCAAAATCCACTTTTCGCGGGGCAATTCGACGATTACGAACGGGGAACGGATTAGAAAATAAGAGCGGTGCACGTATGGCTATTTAATAATCGGAAACGGTGATTATCTCGAAAAATAAAATCGAGAAGATCGCGAAAATTTTTGGTAGGTTTCGGGTACTGAACTTTTAGCGAGGGGGAAATATGTTTTTTTCGCCTATAGATATTGTTAAATAAAATTTGCGTAATTTTTGACTGCTAGAAAGTTGCAAAAATGTTGTAAACATTTTTGAAAAAGCAAAAAATTTGCTATTTTTTTGACAGCTTCACAAAATTGTTGATTTTTGATTCGAAAAACTTTGATATTTTTTATGAACTTTTTTGTATCTAAAAACTGTGTAAAATGCTAGAAAAATGGTTTATATTTTATTATTATGAGGTCGTGCAGGATTACTGGGAAAAAATTAGTTGCCCTCCGCTAACAGTTTAGTGTTACGCAATTCTGGATCCGAAATTGCGAGGCAGCGACACTATAACCACCACGTCCGCTACAGACCAACAAGTTCAAGGAGTATAAGCGGCTAAAACGGCCTAAAAGTGCTGCCCTGGATGAACTGAACAAAGTGGTCAACGTGTGCGCAACGGCGTCTCAATGTCCAGACGACATAATCCACTCAATTCCGAGAATTGGAAACTTTAGACTGCTAGCCGAGCAAGAGTTGTCTGTTTTGGCCGCGCTGGTCGACCATCCTAAAGATTCGACAAGTTCCGGTCTGATCGGCGAGCCGATTTGGCATTTGAGCAATCGGGGGGCAGCCGGTGAGGCTCAAAAACACGAGCCGAAAAATTTGATTTTTCTATGGTGAGAGCACGGCGCAGCGACCTACCGCTCCAAAATTGGAATAAAAATGGGGAAGCGGAAAGAAAGCTGTTTAGAATCTGTACTATTAAAGTCTCACCTTCTACTACAAAAGGCCCTATAAATTCTAAAATTAAGTAGCAATTTGTAGGAGAAAACCTACGTAAAAAGGAAAGTTGCGTCTTCTACAAATACCGGTTTCTACAATTCTTAAGCGCGAAAAATCTTTAATTTTAGAAATTTCGACAAAATCTACTAAAAAATTCTTGATGGTTTGTTATTGTTTTTCTCCTTCAAATATCGTAAAATTAAAAAGTTGCCCCCCCCCCCCCCGATAATGCGAAAAAACCAAAGAAGATGCTAAAACCAGAAGTTAACTTTTTAAGCATAAGTGAAGGTACGATTTCGACAAGACAAGAAAATTAACCTAAAAACCCCACAAAACCACCATAGCCAGACTGAGTCCCCGTGCAGCCCATATGCAGGACATCCCCCAGCCTTTTTCCGCCGGCGCGTCTCGCCCGTGACGTCAAAGTGTACGGTAGCCCACGGGAGTGGGGCTACGCCGTACTCCGCTGGACATCCCCCCGGCCGAACCGGTTTTTCGCGTAGCTGCCCCGGCTGCGAAAAAAGGATTTGAGGGGGATTTCGTGGTGGTCTGCATCACAGGTTCCTCGTCTCCTCCAAAAACTACCAAAAGGGCCGGTGATGCGTGACGACGGAGCGCGCCTGGGGGTACGGTAGCGTCAGTGGGAGCTTGGCGAACTTCTGGCGCGCCAAGTTCAGGCATCTGATTTTGTTTGCCGCGGAGTCTATGACTACTCGACCCTGATCTATACAAACAAAAAATAGCCAAGGGCTGCTAAGGTTCTGGATCGTTATCGGGGGATCAAAATTTGGTACTGGTCTCTTAGCGGGGAACTAATTTTTGTTTTTCCGTCTACACTGACCTGTTCATAAAAATGGTCTTTTATAAAATTTTTAGTAGTTATTGACTGCTAGAAAGTTACAAAAACGTTTTAAACATTTTTGAAAACTCGAAAATTTTTACTTTGGCCATTTTTGAACACTTAGTCCAAAAATTTTCGGAAATTTTAGTTATTCTTTTATGAGTTTTTTTATCTAAAAACGTTGTAAAAATGCGATAAAAACGGGTTGTTTTCTGTTATAGCTCCGTACAGAAATACAGAGCTTAAAATTCTCCCCCCCTGTTAGTGATCCAGCACGGATTCCCAAATTATCATAATCCCAAGAATCTCTCCTAGCCTTGGACTTTGGCCTTGACCACGCTGCAAGCTCAAAAAACTAGACCCAGGAGCTTCTCTCATTTGCCATTTTCCCATGCTCCCGAGGTTGGCGCTCGGCCAGGCTTCTCCCTCATAGTCAGCGCGCTGTTTCTCCTCATCACCGCTGCAAGGAGTGACCCGGGTAAACTTTGCACCCGCTGTCCCCTAAATCATGGAATTTTGTCCCAAAAAGGATCTATATGGTCGCAATCTTTGCATCCACTCGACAGCCCCGCTGACCTCCCTAACCCGGCGTCAATTTGTGACGTAGCAGACCCCCTCCCCCCGCCTCAAAAAGGACCTCACGTCCTAATCGGCTGCAAAGAGCACCATCAACACTGAAAGATCGGTGTTTTCGACGGCTCAACAATCCGACGTGACCCTGGGCTGGTCAAAAACGATGCCAAACTGGGTGCTACGTAGAATGTGACTCAGGGTTCGGAAAATCAAACTATAAAAAAGGTAAAAACGCAGGTAAAAACTAAATCAGTATAATGCTCAGTCGCGGTAGTGAATAACGACTAATAAATGCAAATCCCATAGACATCTGCGTCCAGAAAGCAAACTCCAACGAAAATTACTCTAAACGAAAACACTAGCACTTTGGAAGGTTAAGTGAACAAAAAAAAAAAAGTATGAAGCGCACTCTACGTTGTGAATAACTGTTAATAAATGAATAACGCCTAAACAGCAACATCCAAAAAAACATTTTCACGGGAAAACTAACCTCACCGAAATCACTTTTATACGACGAAACGTACTTTTCCACCAAATCCATCACCGGAAACAAATACCCAAAAATAGCCCTAAAACATCGGAAAAGAAGATATCATATTTGCCTCAAATGCCCTCAAAATGTCGGGTTGAAAACCGGCTTGTCCTCAAAAATGGGAAACTACACGGCGAGCCGCCCTGATCCGAGGAGCTCCAAAACACGGAGCACCGGCAAAAGGCAGGTGATAGCCCGCGAAATGAGGGTCGACTGTTACAAATCGCGCGGGCGCGGGGCCGACCGGGCCGTGGCATTGCGGAAAAATTTGGGGGCGCAGCGCGCGAGATCCACGAATTCGCCACCTCGTATATCCCGATCCCGACCCCCAAAAATAGAGGGAAATATGAGGCGGCGGCCGGGGCCACGAGTCGAAACGGATGAAAGCTGCAAGGCGGGGATGAGGAATGGCGGGCGGACCTTGAACTGGAGGGCCGATGAGGGAGGATATCTAGCTCGAAATATTGCCACGATAACGCTGATCCCATTCGGTCACGGGATCCGGCGTCTGACCCTCAAAATGGTTGCACGATTAGGTGGGATGTACAAATCTGGAATGGGATACAGCAAAAACACGTTAGAAAGTCATGTTCAGGCGCGCGGGCAACTCTAGAAATATCTATTTCGCTTGCAATCCCATTTTTCCAACTGTAGAGGCACAAAAAAGCGGTCGTCTCGTCGTCAAAAATTCAAAGTTACTAAATGCGCTACTTCTAGAAAATATTGCAGCATTATAATATCTAAAATACTATCCGCGTACAGGCCCGCCGAACGGCCCCACGGCGATGACTTATTTCCGCCAAAGGTGCGGCCGCAAAGACGGAACACCCGAAGCACACAAACAAAAAAGATACCCCCACATCCAGCACCACCCGTTTTTTTGGCGCGGAAGTTGGAACTCATACCCGACTTGCTCCCCCTGAACCTTCTGACGTCGACGGGCTTCTAAGCGATTCGTAGAGGTGGCGCCTTCGCGAGCGCATCTGCCAAGGCCAACGGCTCACTTCCGCACGAGCAGCCCAGGCATACGCGAACAGCTGAAGCCGCCTCCATCCCATTGTTTCATGCTGGGCGAGAAGACAAAAATCACACTAAAAGATAGTAGAAAAGTTTTTAAAATGCCATGTCAAAATGTCTAATTTTAGAAGAAATTTTAAAATCTGAAAATGCGAGTAGTAAGAGTACCTTACCGAACTTGGTATTTGGGGATTTTTTTAGTGTTTCATTTAGCTATGGCGAGCGTAATCGCGAATATTCAGCCAGCAGGGATTTTTTTTAAGAGAACGTGATGTTCTTCTAACATTACCCTAGATGAGAAACTACAACTAGGCCTATAGATTTTCGCAAATTTTCCCCGCTATTTTGCCCTTGCCAATTTTGAAAAGAAAGAAGACCTTTTAAATCTCATTTTGCCCGAATCGGTTGGCATGCAGTGCTTGCTCGGTGTCGCACGGTTCGAGTCGTGGAAGAATCCTAAAGAGGTGTGCGGAGAAGTTGAAAAGTCGACGACTAACCGCTATCGATCCGTGAGCGGCTTAGTACCACGCTTCTCCTTTTGCAGAAACCAGCATGAAGCAGTAGCCATCAAAAAAAAAAAACCAAAACAAATGCAGTACTTTTATTACACCTTACAAAGTTTCGTATGTCGTCGTTGGCTGGAAATGTAGATCGGAGCCTATCGGAACAGGTTGGGGAGCAAAAGATTTTCAAACTTTTCAAACACCTTTCAAAAGTTCCATAATGAAGCTCTTCTCACTACAAGTTTTCTACAAAGATGAAATATCAAGTCAGGTAGCGATATCCTTTCAATATTCATTCCCTTGCAGGCGTCACTATTGAAAGGAGCCTATGATCTCTCTTCCTTCACCTTTTTCAAGCGCAGCTCTGTTCAGGTTCACTTACTTTCTTTAGTCAATTTTTGTTCAGGATTTTATAATTTTCACCGCCAAGCTACTCGTCGAGCGCGCGAATAAGGGCACCCGAACGACGGTTGCAGGTTTAATTTTACGACTTTGCGACTCTAGAGCCCTTTTATTCCAGAACAAGAATACCGTCTCCACACGTACGTGCGCGCTGACGGCTTGTCTGCTGTTTGTACGACAGACAGCGAATATCAACAACGAGTTGGTATCTATTAAAGGATAATACTTATTCCCAGGTCGCCTTTACGATGCTGATGCGCGTGTTAGATGATTTTGCAATGAGGGTACCTCGTCGACATTGGGTTCGCGCAATTTTTTTTGAGTTCAAACATCTGTTTAGGCAGTAATCAAAAGCGATAGGGAGTGCCACTACGACCAACTGCCGGTGCAGCTGACAAAATGGCAAAACCCAAGTACATCCGATGCGATGACGCGTGTTCAGGTTTGGTTTTCGGCTTTCGTATTTATATTGATTCTGTACAGGAAGAAGTGGAAGAGACAAAACTTGTCATGCACAGCACGATCCAAGCGCTACTCGACCGCGGCGAGAAACTCGACGATCTGGTGTCAAAGAGTGAAACGTTATCTGAACAGGTGATTTGTTTGTAAAGTTTCATATCGGTTTTAGAGCAAAATGTTCTACACGAGTGCCCGCAAGATGAACAAGTGTTGCAGCTATGTTTAAAGCAGCAGTTCGTTTCTGATTGATCTACTTGTCTTTCCAATGCCTGCTAGGTAGGCTGCCGATTCTGTACTCATTTCTGTGATTTACTTTTGTGTCTTCCTGAATAACATTTTCCAATCAATTGCGTTTTTGAATGATACAAAAAAGTCTTTTAATATTATAATGTAAATCCAAAAAACTGTTCGCAAAAGTCTCAAGCACGGTGGCCCCTTTCTAAATCCTAATGTCCGGTGTTATGGACCGTGTCGGGGGGATCTCAAAGGTTTTCCAGCGGAAACCGGAACCGGCCCTTTGCGGGGGGTGAGAGGAGGACAAGGACGAAAGAAACAAACCAACAAACAAACAAACAGGCACGCACGGACGAGGCCCCCCACTTGGCCCCACAAGGATCGCTTGCCGCGAAGGGGTGCGATGAACGATCATCTGTTGTGACGGCATACAGCCAGCCGGAAAGGAATGATGCCATGGCGGTTTATTGGGTAGAATGCTCGCCAGTATTAGGCTTTTATCCCGTCAAAATTTACTGCGGACTTTGGTAAAATCTGATAGTACGGATAAGGACTCGACGTAGTTTTATCTGGTAAGCGACTGTACTGGACTATTAGCGGGGGGAAACGGATTTTATGTTTCCGCCTATACCTGTTCATAAGTAATAGTGTATTGGTATATTGCTTTTGCTAATTTTTTATTGCTAGAAAGTTACAAAAAACATTTTTGAAAATTGAAAATTTTGAAGTTTTTGGTCATCTTCATAAATCTTTGAACAAAACGTCAAAAATTATTGCTAATTTTTATTAGTTTTATGAGCTTTTTATATCTAAAAACTCTGTAAAATAGTAGAAAACTGGTTTATATTTTCTTATAGGAACGTACAAGATTATTAAGACAATTAGTTCCCCCCTGCCAACGGTCCAGTACCCATGCTCTGCCTACCAACCGTTCCCGATTTACAAAAATGACGGTGTTCTTTGAAGCCGGCCTCATTCCACGCCGACTTAGGCGACAGTCCCCCCGCGGCGCGGGCATCACCCAGCGGGCGGCGGCAAGGCGGATTAGCGGAGCATGGGTGGCACACAGTGTGTGGACTGTTCCCGGGGCCCTTCTCTGAAATATTTGCGCCGTCTCCGCATGCGCTGCCGCGCGCCCTCAGCCCTCTCGGCAAATACCCTTCGCCCCCCACCAACTACAAGTCATACAGCTTCTTGAAGACCATAGGGGAGCGAGAGAGTGTGAGAAGACGTTGAGAAGGCAGACACAAACACCTCGGCACTTGTCTCGAAACGGATTGGCAAGGCTGTGGGCCTGGGTACACATCACGGAGGTACAGGCTGGGGTGGCAGTAGCAGCGAAGAAGCGGAGTGTAGGTTGTTAGCACGCGCGGATCAGGAGGGCGTTTGTCTTGTTTCACTGGGGGCGGAGGTGCTTAGTGGTGCGACACACTGGAAAGCGCATTTTACACCGATTTGCAGCATTTTAGGCCTGAAGCTGGCGGTGGGCATCGGGCGCTGAAAGGTCTTTGTAATTTTGTATTTCGTGCACTTTTCCGGGGCTTCTGAATCATAATTACTGATTTAGGTGGACTAACCAGTGTTTTTTATTACAAAAAGCCACAAAAACATTTTTAGAAAATTTGAAAAATATTTAAGAAAATAGAAATTTTCAAATTAGCCAGCAAACCATTTTACTCATGCTTGCTATACGTTTTCTTCACGATCCCGATGTTCATTATGCCGATTTTGATAGTATACTGGTACATCCAACCTTTTTCCGGAAATGCAAAAAAGAAAGAAAGTAGCTAAAAGGCAATAGCTAGATAAAAAACGGAATAATGAAAATTCGGAGCGAGATAGCCAACTTTTAAATTTAATTTTTAACCATTTTTATTTAGCTCCTGAATTTGCTGCAGTCTGTGAAGCCCTCAAAGTGTCCCCGTGTCGCCCCGAGCACCTCAGAAAATGTTTCGCATTTTCTCGGGCGCTTTCGACCGTTCATGCACCACTCTCAGTCGGCACCTCGAGAGCCCCACGCACCCTTCCCTCCCAACCAACACCACCACCACCATCTCTCCTCCATCCATCCAGAATACACACAACTGGCACCAAGTTGCCCGGCTAGCACTGTGCGCCCGGTCATGCTGCTGTCAAATCACGGCTTTGAACGGATGCGGCTGGTTTTGATGGCTTGAGGGATTCGATCTGGGTGTTCTCAGGTCTAAAGACTTTCTCGTCGAATCTGCTGTTTCCTAGTTCTAATTTCTATCCTGTTCATAGGCGGTTTTTCTTGAATTTCAGTCTATTTCAATTCACGCATTAAACTTATATTTCGTGTTTCTAAATCGTTTTGACTCTTCCTAAACGTAAGCACCTTACAAATTTTTATTGAAAAAAACGCAAAAAATTTCGATTTCTCGACCAAAAACGCCGTTTTTGACCAAAATTTCGGCTTTTTGAAAAGCTTTTCAAAGTTTTTTAAGATGGTCCTTCTGGTTAAAATATAGTTTTATCGGACTAAAATCATGATTTAAATTCGTCCTATTCAGTTACTAGGCATTTCTAGATTAATACAAAAAATTTATGATGGCTGCCCCCCCCCCCCGATAATGCGAAAGAACCCAAAGTTATGTAAGCTTCACTTATTAGGATCAAAACCACTTCAGGTCCAAAACACAGCACGACCAATCCCCTCATCGGTTACCGATCGCCCCGGCTGGCCGATTGTTTTTTTTTCTCGCTGACCAGCTCGGATTGGGCCCCGTGCAGGGTATTGGTCCGTAATCGGGCTGGGCCCTAAGCGGCACGCGGACTGCAGCAGACCCCCCGCGTCCGGACCGCCGGATGGCGGGAGGGAGGGCCCTTCGCTCGACGTACCCGCGCACCGGGCCAGCTTACAATTGATTAGAGCCGGAGATGGGGTTGGCTGGGTCCTGGAGAGAACCGGATTCTCACGCTGCGCCCCGCGTGCATCCCGAAGTCACCCAGACTGGCGCGCGACCCCGGCATTGTGCCCCGGCGCACAACGCCCTCTCTTCTGCGCGATCAACTTTTAGCATACAACAGGGCCACTCGACCTCTTGATGAATGGCTGGGTGTCTTTTTTGCCGTCGACACCTTCTCTAGGGGATGGTGGAACGCCTGGGTGTGATTTTTGTAATTTGGGGTAAGCTGGGGCTGAGCTTTTGGAGCTTAACCCTGTGTAGCTTGTAGCAACCTGGCCGCTGGCTTCAGGAGGTTATTCTGTGTCCTTTATTGTCTTCTGCGTACTCGTTTGAGCTTCTAGTTTTTGAGTTTTGCAGCTTCGAGTAAGCTTCGGATTTTTTATTGACGTCTGCGTCTCTCGCTCCCTCTCTCTCTCTCTCTCACTCTCTCTCTCTCTTTTTCCTAATCTCCCGGCGTAATTAGGCGCGCCCGTATTTTACGAGGTGCCTGAACGTCTTTAGAAGCTTATATTTCTGCTTTATTGGTGCTTTTTAAGGTATTCGATTGAAGCTTTAGTGAATTTTTTGCGCTTTTTTTTTGCTTTAATAACCCGCTTGCTGAATTTTATGCTTTTCCTTTAATATGAATTGGCCAATGGAACCTTGCTGTATGCTTGTTTATTAGATTTTATCAATGCTTAAAATCAGCAGAGCTGGCTGAATCTTAAAAGTTTTCCTTTTTTAAAGATTCAATGACGTTGCTGACTTGGTTTGATTCAAGCTGCGTTTGCGCTTTTTAAAATCGTTGCTGTTTTTTTTCGGAAGTATTCCTTGAACCCGGTGTTTTGAGCTTTTTCATCTTGCCTTTTTCTGGAAACTCGAAAGAATTTCGAGCTAAAGCCGCAGCCCTAGATGCTCTAGATTTTGTTTCCGCTGCTGAAATTTATCTTGCTAGAAGCACATCGGCTTTTCATGTATAGTTTTATTGTTAAGCTTTGCGATTTTCTAGACATCATCGCCATATGAGAATACAGATGTTTTTTTGATGATAAATCCCGCTCGGAACACCGTCGCAATCTTCATTTCCGCTCTCAATGCCCGCGGGGGGAGGTATCACGCCCAGGGCGGTGTCCCCTTTTGTCTCCGGTTTGGAATGGCTTGATTTGGAGGGATCTGGCTGCGGGTGGTGGGCCCTCTCTACCATCCAGGAAGGGCCCATCCACAATGTGGCCCACAGCCCCGCCACGAACATCCTTTCTCCGCCCGAATCCGGCGTCACGTTTTGGAGGCGCCCTCAAGCGGCCATGCGTGGAATCTCGGCTTTTTTTTGAGGTGTTTCGGAATTGGGTAATTTGGGAGGCTTCGAGTCGCTTGTGAAACTAGGATTAGGATAGGAAAAAACTACTTTTTGGTTATCGGTTTATTTTTTTTTGTTAGGAACGAATTTTGTAAATACAAATAGCGGAAGTGTTTCTAGGCTGTTTTTTTAATAATGCTAAACGTCAAACCCTACAAAGGTTTATTAAAAGGTACAAAAAAGTAGCAATTTTTCGACCATAACTGACCATTTTTGACCAAAGCTTCCAATTTTTTCAAACATTTTTCAAAATTTTTAGATAGTTTTCTGGTTAAAGTATAGTTTTATTTACTTAAAAAATTATCGAAATACTTCCTATTAATTTACTAGGCATTCCTAGATTAATACAAAAAAAATTGTCTCCCCCCCCGATAATGCGAAAGAACTTTATCTAAGAATCTCTAATGCAGTCTTTCCACACCATCTTCAACTACATATCTTTCGATCTGACGAGTCTCTTCTTTTTTCTCGTCTATAAATCTTGCGAATTATTCTCCTTTAGTTCGTGATTTCTAGCTTTTTGCAGCACTGTAATTTTTAACGAGGAGTTGTTTGGATCGTCCCCCCCCCCGCTAACGAACCAGAACCGTTTCTGGACGAAACGTGACCGATCCCATTACAATCCACCTCCTCACCTCTTGTTATGCTCGGATTTGTTCGCCTTTTTCGGGGGGAGGATCCGATCCCCCGGGCGGGGTGAACGACCCCCGTTCTGCTGCTGGTAGATGGAGAGACTCGTGTGTGGCTGTCAAATGCCCTAGAGGCCCATTGCAGCCTGTACAAACACGGAATTCAGGGGTGCTCAACCCCCCCCCCCCATCTACACGAGACTCAATGACCCCCCTGAAGGCCCGGGCTTCTCCTCCAGCCTTTCGAGCATCTGACTCATGGCCGCAGGGCCCTAATACTGTTTGCCAGTCGACGGGGAGTTCCGGTTTTGGCCCCGGGCCAACCTTGCGTAATTTTTTGGCTTTATAGGGGTCGACACGTTCGGAAACGCCATTAGATTTTCGTAACTGGCTTTCTGGTTTTTCCGTTTTTCCTATACCTTTTTCGTGTTCTTGCTTGGAAAATCCATGTTATTATTCTTTTTAATAATCTAAAAAGACCTTTTAATACACTTCAGATGGCAATAGTAGTCGTAAATCTGAATTCGAAAAAAGCACCTTGGGCGTTATGTGCACCTAGGTTGGTCCGGTCTTTCGCATTATCGGGGGGGGGACCGAAATTTTTTGTATAATCCTAGAAAGGATATTAACTTTATTATTGGAATAGGACATATTTTTGGGTCAAATATAACTACTATATTTAAAGGAGAAAAACTATCTAAAAATTTACAAATTTAGAATAGGAAAAAAACGGTTTAGAAACACTGAAAGTTATGTGAAAAAAGTTGCCCCTGCCCCCCCCCCCCGATAACGCCAAAGAACCTGTTGACCATCGTTATATGGAATTCAAATAGTGTAATACCCTGACGAGGGAAAATGAGAACTTTCATGCAATTTTGCACTTTATTTTGCACCTTCTTCCAATTCCAGGCACTTTTCCGCAATCTTCCCGGTCCCTTTAAGCCCTGAAAATCGCCTGAATCAGCTCATTTTTCCGCATCCGCACCGTCCGCTAACCCCGATTTCATCACACCAAATTGCCAATGTTGATCACAAAATGGTGCGCATTCTTGTGTACCGTTTCCGCTTCTCCGTCCCTCCCTACTGAGTGAGGGATTATCGGGCCTGGGCCCCAGCAGAATGACTCAATTCCGGAACCGGTCCCCCCTACCCCTCAGCTGTCTACCCACACCCACCAACCCCACGCACTCCAACAACCATTTTTTGGGAGGCTTCTGTGCCCGGGATACCAGTTATATTACAGTTTAAAGGGGTTGTCAAGTGCGTGACGTTGGCTTTTCGACGAACTTTTAGTTTAGAATTTATTGGGCTTCGTTTTACTTCTTTTCACGAATAGTTTTTATCCACTTTTTCCATCCGTTTTAACAGTTGTTTTAGATATTTTAGGTGTATGGAAAAACTCTTTACAAAAATTAGAAAAATTCAGAAAATCATGACCACCGTATGTTTTGGTCAGCTCCGCCAATTTTGGTTGAAAAATTGATATTTTTGTATTTTTTGTAAAGCCATCTGTAAAGTTTGCTATTAGGAATGGTAAGAACAGTTGGGGAACATTTTATCCGTTTATTAAAAAACTTGTTTCTAAGGAAAAGATCCCCCCCCCCCCCGATAATGCGCAAGACCCTGCTTGCTTTTTTTGGTGTTTTCTGTTTCCTTTGGACTTTCGGAATTTTTTTGCTGTTGTTGGCTGTCAAAATATGCTCACTCATCGATTTCTTTACGCCTTAATTTTCGAATTTCGACTGGGGAGAGTTCGAGAAAATGATCCTTAGATTTTCGGATAGTTATGTTATTAGCTCCTTCATTTTCTAGTGCTGCAATCTATAACATTTCCTTAGTTCTAGACGTTTTCCCTTCTATGTTTGTATTTTTGTAATCTCGATCTTTCCAATTCCGGTTTAATCTGCGTTTTTAACCTTTTAAAATGACCTTTTTCCAGGCGGACCATCGCGAGCGGGCCACCCCACACCATTTACAACATTGAGTGCAGACAGCCGTCCCAACCACCCGACCACCCAAATATTCTCAGCCATTCCCGAGGGCGATGAAGGCCCTCCTCGTGCCGCTTCTGCTCGCGGCCACTGTCTACGCGCAGTGTCCGCAGCTCAATTCTAATATTTGCCGGTGAGTACTTTGTGGTGACGCGAGTGTTTTGAGTAAATTATCGTAGCCCAGAATTCACGCCGCTTTTCAGATGCTCCCCATCCATGACGGAACCGATCGCCATCATCTGCGAGCAGGCCGGAAGTCTGCAGAATGTGCTGGCAGCCATTCAGCCTGCCAAGGGCGCCCCGGTAAGGTTTAACAAATTCTTTTGTGATTTCCGAAAAAATCTCTGCAAGCTCACCTGAATATTTTATTTTCCTAATGAATCTCTGCAATGTTGCCTTAAGTTTATCTTTTCCTAAAGAACCTCTGCAAGTTTGCGTTCAGCTTCTCCTGTTCCTTAAGAGCCTCGGCAAGCTTTTCATTTCCTAAAAATCACTGCCAACCTTTTAATAAGGCCCCCATTTTTCCTCAAATTTCTTTGCAAGCTGGCCCTGTGCTTTCCTTTCCTAAAAATCACTGCAAACTTGTGATAAGGCCCCCATTTTTCCTCAAGGATCTCTGCAGACGGGCCGACGTTTTTCTTGATCCCAAATAACCACTGCAAGCTTGCATTAAGCCCTCATTTTCATCAAAGATCTCTGTCAGCTTGCCCTAAGCTTCCGTTTCCTGAAAAAACCGCTGCAATCTTGCCTCAGCCCCTCTTTTAATCTTTTTTTTTTCAGATTGATTCGTTGATGATCGTCGACACGGCCGTCCCCTCGCTGCCCGCTAATGCCTTCCAGGGCTTCACCATTCTTCGATTGGCTCTGAACAGGAATACCTTGAGTAAGTAGTCACTATTATTGTCTTTACCTTTCTATAGGCAACATCGACGACAATGCGTTCAACGGTGAGCTTCTCGAATCGCTCGTCGAGCTCGACCTCGGCGACAACAACCTCGGCCAAGTCCCCCAGACCGGTGTCACCAAGCTCCAGAATTTGAGGTGATTTTTTAGAGTTTTCGGAGCCTTTATTGCTGGATTTATGGATGAAAGCTCTTTTCAGGAAGCTCTACCTGTACCGCAACAAGATCTCCAACTTGCCGGCGAACTCGTTTGCCGCCTGGGAGTCGAAGGATTTAATTGTGAAGATTTCGCTGGCCGGCAATCGCCTGACGGACCGTTCGCTGGGAGATTCGACCGTGTTCAGGCCGTTCAAGCTGCTGCAGGTAGGCTTCATAACTTTTGTTCTTTAAGAATTGCCAACTTTCGCTATTAATTTATTAAAATGAATATTTATGTAAATGATTTTATACATTTGCAGGAACTCTCGCTGGAGACGAACGCCTTGACGCAGATCCCATCTGCCGCTCTGGTCAACCAGCGCCTGACCCTCACCAATCTCAACTTGGGCCTCAACAACATCAGCAATGTAGGCTTTTCTCGGGTTATTTAGCAATATCGAGGGGGAGCGAATTTTTCAAATATAAATAGCGAAAGTGTTGCTAAACCGCTTTATCCTATTCCTGAACGTTAAAACATTACAAAGTTTTATTAAAAACTGGAAAAGATCTCAATTTTTCGACCAAAAAATGGCAACTTTTAGATGAAAATACGACTTACAAAATTTTTTGAAGTTTTGAGCTTGTTTTGCAGTTGAAATTTACTGATATTTGACTAACAGCTGAATTAAACTGCTTCCGATTAAGTTAAATTCCTAGACTTCCACAAAAAAGCCTTCTAAAACAACAAAATTCAGGTGCCAGTCGGAGCCCTCGATTTGCCGATGCTCACCTCACTCTCCCTGGAATTCAACGGCATCACCGTCATCACCCCGCAAGCTTTCCAGGTATAGTTTTAATGCAAAAATCTAGTTTAGCTTAATTAATAACTAAGTTCTGTTAAAATTCTTTAAATTTCATGGCTTTTACAACCTCACCCATCATTGAAATCTAGGGTGTGCCCAACCTACAGTACCTCTACGTCACCGGCAACAAGTTCCCGTCGTGGCAACCGGAAATGTTCCGGTAAGTCTGCAGGAACTATTGTCAGAATATTTTTGTGCCTATTTTTTTGCGAATTTCAAGGTAATTTTTAGATTCGTTCCCTACCTGCGAACTCTGGGCATTGGCGAGACGCCGATTTCCGTCATCCCCAACAACGCCTTCCAGGTATATTTGATTATTCTTAATATATACCTTCAATTTTTATTACAATTTTATTAGAAAACCAAAAATCCCCTTTTCAGTACATCCCGAACCTGTTGCGCCTGGAGATGTCCGAGGCTGCTGTCGACACGATCGAGCGAGGGGCCTTCCAGCGGACGCCCAAGATCCAGGCCATCGTCCTCAACAAGAACCGACTTTCCCAGTACGTTTTTGAGTATTTAATTGGTTGAAAATCTGGTTTTGTGGGCTAGTTTTTTGCCCTTTCTCCGGGTTTTACGTATAGAAAACCGTTTCCTAACTTATTTAAGTGTATAAAAGAATAAAAAAATCCGCGATCCCACCCATGCCTTGTTAAAAACCAAGCGCCGGTCCCAATTTGTGCCCCGCACCGCACCAGTGCTTCAAATATTTGCCGAGGGGGTGTTTGTCTCTTTGTCCACCGAGATGGCGTGTGCTGAATCATTTTGGCAAATGATGGGGGGAGGGTGCGGCTTTTCTTATATCCGGAATGTTTACTAGACAGAAGCCGCCGAACCAGCTATAAAAAAGTAAAAACTGGAAAATCGAGGGTTTAAACCTGGAATGAAATGTGTAAAAAGCTCATATATAAATAAAATTCATTTTAGAATTCGCGCCGACTTCTTCCAAGGGCTCAACGACCTCTACTCGATCGACGTCGGTGCCAACCGCATCTCGAACACGGAAAACCTCGCATTTGCCAACCTGCCAACCATTCAGCATCTCGATATTAGGTAGATTTTTAGTGGAGTTACATAATAAGAGTCAAATGAGCGTATAGAAATGGTTGAAAAGCTAGATAATAGCTCCAAAACCCTTTTACAACCCGTTTTTCCAGCTACAACCAACTGCAGACGATGCCGAACGACGTCTTCCAAAACTCCTTCCTGCCCCAACCCGACGAGCGCCGTGTTATTTATGCTTGTGGTGAGTTTGGCTTTTTCTCTATATTTTTAAACATCAAAACGTCCCGAAAACATTCGCAAAATCATAATGTCGAAATTCCGAATGCCGAAATTTCAAAATGTCGAAATTACAGAATGTCGAAATTTCACAGTGTCGAAAATCATAATGTCGAAATTTCATAGCGTCGAATCTTCATAATTTGGAAATTTTAGAGTATCGGAAATTAATAAGCGAATCTCCCGAAAAACCCCAAATTCTGTGCAAAATTGTGGCCATTATGAATTTTCGGCGTTCTGAAACTTCCACAATATAAATTTCGGCATTTTCGGCATTATGATACCAATTAATAAATAAATAATTAATCCTCATTTCTAGGCAACCCCTGGCTGTGCGACAGTCAGCTCACATGGTTCCGTCAGCTTCTCCGCGAGAATCTCGACATTGACATCGACAAGCCGGGCTGCACATCCGTCTGCCGCTCTGCACCCAACAATTGCCCGCCCGAGGGCACACCGCTTCGATCCGAGGATCTGTGCCCGTTGAACAGCGAGACGCCGCAGGCTTTCGTCTCGTCACCTCTGTCGATGGTCCCCTGGATCATTCTCGGTAATTTTGGTGGGAGAATAAGAACAAAATAGGACTAAAAAAGTTTATATGATTCTTTCGCATTATCCACGGGGAAGCAACTTTCTTAAGATCTACTTTTCCAAAATTATAAATGGTGGAAGGTTTTTAAAATTGGTATTTTACTATTCTTAAAACAATTAAAAACTTTACAAATTTGGTTACTAAGAATTATAAAAAGTACAAATTTTTCGACCGATAATGGCGGAGTTTAAATGACCAAAATTTCGACTTTAAAACCCAAAAAACGTTTTTATGGTTTTTTAGTGACTAACTACTATTAAAAACCATAAAAATACGCTAGAAAACGCCAAAATATTTTACTAAATAACTCCCCCGGTAACAGCCCAGTCCCGGATTTACGCTAGATAATTCCACTCTGAACGGCGCAACGCGAGCCGCGACGCGTACCAAAAATAAATTTTTATCCTCAAAACCTTACAGCGATCATCATGACGATCCTGATGATCTCCATCTGCATGCTGGCGCTGATCCGCTACGGCATCTCGCACAAGCGGAAGAAGCAAAAGGACCAGGAAATCGAGGAGGACCGATATCTCTCCACTGCTGGTTCGTAATTGCCCTTTTTGGCTGGTTTTTAAAGTCGAATGCGTCAGCTTTTTGAGTTTTTAAAAGCAAAGCAACGAAAACGCAATTTTGAACCTTTAGCATCAATGTTCGCCGGTCCCGTCTCGACGATCGGGCCGCTGGGCATCGAGAGTCGGCCGTACACGTCGCACACGGGGCTCGACCTCGATCTGCCCACAGCCCACTCACTCGACGATCGGCCCAACAACTATCTCTACTAGGTAGGTGGCGACTGGAGCACGACTCAAGACTCAGCACCTAGCTAGAATTTTGCGAAATTTTCGAATCTCCGAGTCAAAAATTAGTAACACGATCTGATGATTCCCGGGTTATCGCAGAAATCAGATTGACCTAGCGATACGGTAGCGTGAATCACCCGTGTGAATTATTATAGCCGACACGTATCTGGTTATACTGAGGCTAACACCTATGAATCAACTCGAAAGACCCTAATCTGGCGCTTCTCAGACTCGCGTGTCGATTCGTCATTTTCGGCGTCCGTTATCTTTGCATCTTATGATGCTTACAAACAGACATGAGGTACAATCAAGCGCTTTTCTCAGGATGGCGCAAAGACGCCCACGCTTTTGCACTGTTTTGAACCGGAAGTAAAGGGATGAAGTCGAAAATCAATAAAATAATTCGTATTTTAGTACGGTAACCAAACGTAAAGAGGTTTTATCGTTTAAGAGTTAAAAAAGTCAAAAAAAACCGGCTTTCCAGGCTAAAAAAGCGTATAAATACTAAAATTCTCGGGCGAAACCGCTTTGTACGGAATTACATAGCGTAATTGAATCCTTCCGACGGGAAATAAGCTAAAAATTAGTTCAAAAAATTGTTTCCTAACCAAAATAGTGAAAAAGCTTAAAGAATCCACGGGATTTCAACTATACAATTACCTAACGTAATCCAATAACCCTTCAAAAAAACACACGTTTTTATTCGTATTTATTACTACAACGTATTATGAAGTATTTCAGTTACGACGTTCCCCATCCAAAAAAGAGGTGCTCTGCTCAGCCATATATCATATCCGTCTCTCCTGCCATTTCTTGCTCCCACTCCCTCCTCGCCCAGCTCTTCCAGACGGGACCCCACATCCAAATCCACAACCCTGCCCTTGAATTCAATGCTCCTTTAGAGCGCCTTCAGCCCTATCCCATGCCCCAGCTACCGTATCCCCCACCCGATTCCCCAACCCAATGTTTGTACATTTTGTCCACCACGTAATTATTTTTTCTTGCTTCGGCTTTGTGCCCTCAACGGTTCTGTTATATTGTGAAAAAAGAGGTGTGTGTTTTTGGATTATGGTATGATGATAAAGATTAGAAGATATTGTGACAGGGTATTTACGCATTAATTATACGATTGCAAAACTTTTTTCTAGGATCAGGCGCTCTATGGCTAATTGGTAGTGTGCTAGCCTGCCACCCACACGGTCCAGGTTCGATCCCGGGCCACTACAAATTTTTTGCTTTTTGGCCAAAAGTTGGGAAATCTATATACCTTTCGTTATCCGAACGAAAAAAGCATATCGATTAGCGACTGGTGCATTAATGCCCAATTTCCGAAAGCCACGGCGTCTGGCTAATTGGTAGTGTGCTAGCCTCCAGGCAAAGAGCCCGAGTTCGACCCGTGCCCGCGACAAACTTTTTGCTTTTTTGTGAAAAGGTGGGAAATGGCGATATCTTTAGGTACCCGATTCAATTAAGCTCCCTCGGCCGGGAATTCCACTAATTTTAGGCGTTTTTGTGTCTTACCCCCTGCTATCGAGCCGTCCAAAAATACCCTGATAGCTTTTTCTTCTGCGCTATTTTTAGCGTACCCCATGACTTTTTGGAGGCCGTCCTCATCAGAATTTACGGCCATTGCTCCTCTTTCGTTGCCACAATGTGGCTTGACAAATTTGGGGAGGGCAAAACAAGGTGATAAGGCAGAAGCGCCTGACCCGCCAATGGTGCTTCAGATGTCCCGCATTGTCGGTTTGAGTCACGCGGGATTAAATCACCATTTTATCGGCTCCTGTGTCAACAATTCATTTCCGGTTCAACACAAAAAGCTTATCACAGTAGGGGGGGATGCGGGGGTACGGTAGGTTATATCCGGTCATATCCGGTAATTGCAAGGGGTTCATCGAAACAATTTAACCTTAGAAAAATCACAAAAACGGGCAAAAAGGACATAAAAAGAGATTTTAGCTTTTTTTATGGTTTCTTATTCTAGAGCAAATATGACAAAAAAAACATCAAAAATGACAGATGTTAAGCAGAAGTTCCACCGTATTTTTTACTTTTGGTTTTTAGCCTACAATGAGCAAGAAAATGACACACAATAAACTCTTAAATACAGTATTTTTGCATAGCAGCATTTTCACATTTTTTACATTAACCTTCCCATCACAAAAATCGTCAATAACGACAAATGCGTACGCCTAAAACATAAGTCTAAGGCTGAGCTTAAGCCTAAGCTAAGCCTAAGCGCAAGCCCAAACCTAAGCCAACTAAAATTTTTCTTTCCAAAAACAACACTCCGCTGGGCCAATGGGACTTATTAGAGCCCTCTTCAACACATATTAGCATTTTTATAGCAAATCAAGTCCTTTCCGAGCACAGCCATTAATGCGCCGATACCTAGGCGGCCCTGGACTAGACATCCTCAGACGCAACCCAGATACCGTAGCCCAAACTGCGCCATCTCCATCGTCTGCCCCAAAATCGGGACCAACATATCAGATCTGTTCTCCAAATCGGGCAGTAAAGCCAAGGGGTGGGTGGATTTTACATTTTTTTTCGTCAAGAGCTCACTCGAAATCTAGCCACCCCGGCGGCTTCACTGCCCCTTTAGAGGGCGATATCGCCCTGGGCCGAGGCGGGTCTTTTCAGACGGGAATTTGCGTGGCGTTGCTCTGCGGTTAGCTTCTTCTCCGTCTCGGCGATGCTCTCCAAGAAAGCCAGCCAGGTTGGGTCGGTTCCGCCAGCTGAAAAAGAGGGAGGATGAGCTTTTAACTTTGGGTCTAATTGGGTTATCACGAGCCGCTGCTGCTATCTCTCGCTCTCTCGACTTCTCGCTCGCTCTCTCGCTCTCTCTCACTCTCTCTCTCTCGCTCTCTTTATCTCTCTCTCTTGCTCTCCTCTCTCTCTCTCTCTCTCTCTCTCTCTCTCGTTGCTTCGAGCGGCACGTTGCGCGTCTGCAACACGTTCACACCACAGCGATGGCCCAAATCCCCAAAAATCTCTCCAACAACTCACCGCCCTCCTCCACGGTCCCCTCCGCAGCATGATGTTTATCTACATCCATGACACTAGGTGGTATTGGTGATGGGGTAGAGGCGAGAGAGACGGGTGTCGGAAATGTGAACACCACCGGTTGGGGCTTCTTCTGTGGCGGGAGAGCCGATAGCGGTGCCAGACCCGATGGAGTCAACGGGGATTGCAGCTGGAAAAAGGTTATGAGATAGTAGGTAAATGGAGTTAGCTAATTTAATAGAAGAGAGAGAGAGAGAGAGAGAGAGAGAGAGAGATAGGAGAGGAACACTTACCGGCGAGAGAAACGTGGCATTCGATGTTGACAACGGTGAGGCTGAGAATGCCATCCCGGGATACGGTCCGTAGCGCGCCAACTTACGCGGCACCATTTCCATCTGAAAAATTTTACGCGTTCACGAAAATGGACGTGGAGGATGACGCGGCCACCCCCCGCTTTTACGCTACACGACGCTACGTTGCGTGACGCTACGCCACTTTATCCGCTTTACCGCGCTAAGTTACGTGACGCTATGCTACGCTACATTCCGCTACCCAACTATTTCCACAGTCTTTTTTTTTGCTTCGCTACCTGCCCAAAATCCGGGTGTCCACCATTTGTGAAGATACGCGGCGGCAACGAGGTCGGATACCTGAAAAATGGTGCTTTCCGGGATTCTTGCGCTCCAGACACCAGTGACGTAAAAAGCTCTTGCGCGCAAAAATTCCCCGAGCAGGGCAATGATAAGCTAATTGGCGCCAAACATCTTGATCCTTTGCGGGTTTTATGATCATTTTCGATCAGCACGCCGTGAATCAGATTGTCGCAATTTTTACACGTCGTAATTTCAACGTGTCGAGAACTTAGTACCAAAAATCCCGACATTATGCAAATTCAGCATTTTAAAACTCCGACTAACTTAAATTTAAACATTTTCAAGGCCGAAATTCTGAAAATTCGGCGTTTTAAAATTCCGGAATTCTGAAATATCGATACTTTCTAAAAAGCTGAACTCGCCGAAATAGAGATACTCACCTTTGAATAAAGTGTACGGGCTCGCCTTGAAACGGCGGGTATGCAGTGAGGATACGCTGGAAAATAGGGGTGTAAGGCGGGATGTAGCGTAGCCCTTACCTCGCCGCGCGACATCTCTTCCGCGTCCGATGAGTCCGCCGAGTCGTAGGTATCTGGAATATCGTGGGGTTTTGGTTCTCTCTCCTCTCTCTCTCTCTCTGCTCTTCTCTCTTCTCTCTATCTCGCTCTCTCTTTTTGATGCAAAAGATACCTGTAGGCCTGAATCGCTGCCGCGTTAAATTATTCTGCTGTGGGAGTAGCTCGACTTTTATCTAAAATTATTTTTGAACGCGTCTACTCGTTACATAATTAGCAAAAATATAAAAATTAAACCCACTTCCGTATCCTCCGGCAGGCTCTCCTTATAACGACGTACAAACGCATTCTTCCGCATCCGCATCAACCGGTCGCACTAAATTTTAGGGTCTATGATTTATTGTTTACATTTATAATAAAGAATTTGCAAAAAAATTCTAGCGATTTTTAAAAGCGGTATTTAAGTTTTATATAAATTTAAGGTATTTAAATCCCTTACCGATTTACATTTACAATCAATAAAGGGGCAAAGCGGGGCGTGGCCCTTCAAAATACGCTGAAATCCGTGGCCCTCGCATTTTCGGCAGTAGAGCACGCGGCCCTTCGTCGACGACAGTGAATTCGGGGAGTTTAGCGCTGAAAGGGTACTGTAACTTGGGTCAAGTTTTAGGGAGGCAGTTGTTGTGCAAAATGCGCTCTTGCGACGCGCGAGACGGCTACGGTACGGTTGCAATATTTTTTCACTAGCTGTCTGGCGGTCTCTCTCTCTCTCTATCGCTCTCCCTCTCTCTCTCTCTCTCTCTCTCTCTCTCCCTCTCTATCTCCCTCTCTCCTCCCTTCCTTCCTCTCTCTCTCTCTCTTCTCTCCTCTCTCTCTCTCTTTCTCTCCCCTCCTTCTCTCTCTCTCTCACTCTCCCTCTCTCTCTATCTCTCTCTCTCTCTCTCCCTCTCTCTCGTTCCGGTAGCTGAACAACCTAGTCATTCTGCGTTTCTGCAAATTCCGTTGCGCACGCAAAATTTTTAGGCCGCTGATATGGCCGGAAAAACCGGGCTGAAATTGCTTTGCTACAGTATTTTGTTCTCGGGAGTTCGGAACACGCGATAACAACCGCCAAATGTCGTGGACAAAACAGAAAATGGGGTCAAAGTTGCGGAATTTTAAAAAATATCGGGATTCGGGTCCTATGTTACGCGACGCTACGCTAGGGTATGTTGCGCTACGTTACACAGTACACCATACTACATTAGGTTCCTATGGATAATGTTATGTTACGCTAGGTTATCAAACTTTAGGTTACACTATTTTACGCTACATGGCGCCACTTTACACTGCCGTCCGCTACCGTACGCTACGTCACGCTATCTTATGCTACTTTACGCTGATGTGGGCTACGTTACGCGACGTTACGCTACGCTACGTTGTACGAAACGTGGCTTAAATTATGGTAGCTACCGTGCACGGCAGATAAGCCAACTCTTGAAAATGCATCCCTACCTACCTACCATCTCTCTCTCTCTCTCTCTCTCTCCCTCTCTCTCTCTCTCTGTCTCTCTCTCCCAACAGTTCGGCTAACTATCCAGACACCCTTATCGTTCGTATCCGAAACCGCATCTGTGTTTTTTCGTGTGTCCCTTCTTGATTACAGCATTGGGCAATCGGAACTCACGGGACTCTCCGCGATTCTGGTGCACACTCATCATGGCTGCTGCAAATAGTAGTGAAGCGGAGGGAGGGAGGGAGGGAGGCAGGGCCAGAATCGTTAGTATAACATGTTGCCCGGGCGGTTATGTGAATCGAGCCGTTATCACAAATGTCTCCCTGCCCTTCGCCTAAACGGGACGACTTCTGGGGTGCTGATAAGTCGTAAATGAGAGGGGGAGGGCCCTCAATACTTTTCAAGTTGATACTTTTGTTTCGCGGGTGCGCTTGCACCTAACATCATCCAAATGTCGCAAGTTTTGAGGACAGAATATGTTAGTGGAGGCATAAATAAACGCATTAAGGTTTTGGGCGAGAGAGAGTGAGTGAGAGAAAGAGATAGAGAGGGAGATAGAGAAAGCAAGGGGAGTAATAGGAGAGAAAGCGGGAGGGTGAGATGAATGGGAGAGTAAGAGAGGTAATTGAGAGAGAGGGAGTGAGAGAGGTAGAGAGAGAGCGAGAGAGAGAGGGTGAGAGAGTGAGTGGCTGAGAGAGAGTGAGTGAGAGTGAGAGTGAGAAAGCGTAAGAAGCGAGAGAGACAGGGCGAGAGCGAGAGAGTTGGACGGTTGGCGAGATGGAGGTAGAGATAGAGAACACTTTTTGAGCCGTAGAGACCTAATCGATGGAAGCGGTCGATTTCGCTCCTTCCTAGTCCCTTTAGTGGGACCAGGCGCACCTTTTCCCATGTCCAGAATAACCAGCTACTTTTATATGTAAATCCATTTTGTAAAAAGAATAACCTTCAGAAGGGCGCGGCCGTCCCTATTTTTTATTTGGCTTTTATAGCTTTATCGTTTTATCAACCTTGTTTTAACTTCCATTAAATGCTGACTTCTCTTCATTCGTATAACAAACGCGGGGGATGGCGGAACTGGGTGTGGCTGCTAATTATTTGTCATGGTAACGTGCTGGCAATGGGCGTGGATGCGTACCGGCCACGCCTAGCTTGCCGATACTCTTGATGACACATCGGGCTGACAAGGTTTTTTGTAAAGGTAGGCTTATCTGTCCTGAGGCGTCGTGTATACGTGCTTTTACTTGTCGGTAAGTCACCGGAGAATTGTTTCTCTTTTAAAGAGATTTTGAAGGAAAATCTATCTTTTCCACTCGCTACTTAATTTTTACTCCTCTCTACATCTCTCTCTCTCTCTCTCTCTCTCTCTCTCTCTCTCTCTCTTACGGAGCTATTCCTGCACAGGATGATACGCAGTGTAACGTATAAGTATACGCGCAGTGGACGTATAGCTCGATTTTTGTTATGGACCCCCTGGTTGTCTCTCCCTTTCTCTCTCTCTCCGCTCACGCTCACTTTCTTCTCTTCTCTTCTCTCTCTCTCTCTCTCTCTCTCTCTCTCTCTCTTTAAAATCTCCCCTTGCACTCTCTTCCCCCCCCCCCCTCACCCCCCTTTTAACCCCTATTCCATTCCCAACGCATTTTTTCAACCCAACCTTCGAGTCAATCCAAACTACTGCAAAAACCCAATTCCACCCGATTCCTCCTTACGTCTAGCTCCACCCCCACACTCTACTTCTACAAGGTATTTTCCACCGACTTCAACACCACTTTCACCCTAGTCTGCCCTGCCTTATCAACAGCTTCAACTCGGCCAGACCACAACCCCCTCCAGACACACGGCGTGGCCGGGCCTGCCTGTGTGTTTTGAGCAGCCTAGTCCCCGCGATTGCCGATTGGAAACTGAGGGGGAATACAGTACGCGGCAATGCTTTAGACGGCGCCGCTGGATTCCGGGTGATCAGCAACAAATCCACCCGATCAGTACCTGCTGAACAAACCTCAACATTCGGCTTTATGAGATGAGAGCGATGGGTTGATAAAGTGGGTGACTAAAAAGGCGTGTGTTTCGTTGGACTTTGGAGGGTTAGCTTGGGGCGTGGATTAGTGGTATTAGTTCTGGAAGGGCTATGCAGGGGGTTAAAGGGCTTTGAATTTGGTGTCGTAATGTATTCGGGATTTGTCGGACTTCTCTAGCTCTCTCTCTGTCTCTCTGTCTCTCTCTCGTTATTTATATATCTCTCTCACTACTTATCTCTCTATCGCTACGGGTGTCTCTCGTCATCGTTGACGTCCTCGTTCTCTCTGGCTCTCTCTCATTCTCTTTCTGTATTTCTTTTCTTTAAATTTCTCTACTTAGCTATCCCCGTGTGCGCAATTATACGTAACGTTGCGTAGCGTAGTGTAACGTAGCACCGTATCAGTGTTGCAAGGTCTAGCTCAATTTACTGTTTCAGGGGTCCGGCGCTCTTCCTCCCTCTCACGCTCTCTTATTCTACTCTCTCTCTCTCTCTCTCTCTCTCTCTCTCTTCCACTCCCTCTCTCTCTTTTCTCTCAATTACGGGATAATACCTCCTCGGCAACCTATCCTGCGCCCCTCCGTCAATAGGTGTGAAACGGATCCCGTACCTCACGGCAATATATCACGCTCTCCCAAAATCCACGCCCGAAAATGGGATCCTCCGCCAAGGGTGGATGGCATGCGGCAATTTTTTTTGTCTCCGATAGGCTCCAAATGACAGTGGAGGATACCGTAGGACTAGTAAGATGTTTTTTGGTTTTAGAAATGGAAATAATAAAAAAAAAAAAAAATTTTCTCCCCCCCTTTTTTTCGTTTTTTTTGATTTATTACCTAAAAACAGTATAGGTATCCCAGTAAGACGCTATGAGGCTGAATCAGAACTAAAATTAAAGCTAATCCCCGTATCTTAATTGCTGTAAACACCCCTAGATAGTGGCTAGGTAAATAGGGAGAATTTGCACTCTGGGGGCACAATATTGGTGATAGGGTCTGCGGGTTTGGCTGGAAAACAAATGTTCGAGGAGGGATCTCGTCTCTCTCGCTCTCTCTCTCTCGCTCCTCTCTTCCTCGCTGTAAAAATTAACCTATACTGCTTCAATTTCTCGCCGAAACCAGCGTAGAATTTATTCGTATCTGGGAAAAGAGATCGGGTTGGGGCCTGACATCGAAACTCATTCAAAAATGTATATAATTTGATGTTGTTCATCATCGTCATGCTGTAGATGATCATCCCATCATCGCGCCCATCATACCGCCCATCACAGCTCCTCGAAGTGCTCCTTGCACCGGGTTCATGCTGAAAAAAATAGAGTGAGCGAGAGAGAGAGAGAGAGAGAGCGAGAACCTACCCATATCCTCCACGGCCATATCCATATCCACCATAGGGTCTGTATCCGTATCCACCGTATCCACCGTACGGGTGATATCCGTATCCCCACCTGGAATTAGTATTTAAGCGAAATTTTCGATTTTTTTGAAGAGTTTACGGTAGCCTCCTTGGGTCATCCCATTACCGTAAGATATAGCTTTAATATATAATCTTAATAAATGGCAATTTAAAAAGGGAAAATTGTAACTAAATTTTTGCGGTATTTTTAAGCTATTTTTACGTATTCTCAGCTTGCAGTTTGTTGCTTACTGTAATTTTCTAACATTAAATTAAATTCTACACTCACTGGGCCATCGTCGAGTACAACAGGCAACAAAGAACGGCGAGAATCAGAAGTTTCTGCATCATTTTAGAAAAAAATCGGGGGTAGGTGCCGGAAAGTTGTTTGTTGTTGTGTATATACCCTGGCAGTCCATCGCCCATCCCCTTCTTATATCATACACAAGCGACCGGGGGGCGGCGAATTTTGGGGTGGAAAACCCGGGAAACCGGTTGTGAGTTGTATATCTCGACGGTTCGGCAAAGAAAGGGCAAATATCCCAATCGAAATCGAGGCCGCTGGATGAAAATTGTTCGCCGAGAGGATGTTTGGTACGGTGGAGAAGCATCCGTTCCTTCAGTCAACTGTATTGAGTAGCCGAACGGAAAATGTGAACATTGATTCGATGATGATGAGGGATTTGCATTGCGTAATTGGTTCAGGAAATGGATTTAGGAGCTCGGAGATTGATCACGTCACGTTTGCGTAGTGGTTGATTTTCTGAGCTTCGCTGTTTGTATAGGCGAGAGACAGAGCAAGAGAAAGAGAGAGCGTGGCAAAGAGAGATACAGAGAGAGAGAGAGAGAGTCGAGATCGATAGACAGAGCATAGAGGGATGAAAGAGGTGAGTGAGTGTGAGAGAGGAGAGGGGGAGAGAGATAGAGAGAGGAAGGGCCGGTGAGAGGGAGAACAAGAGCAGGTATTCATGAGAGAGTGACAGAGAAAGAGAGAGAGAGAGCTAGCGAGAGTGAGAGCGAGGGAAGAGAGAGAGCAAGAGAGAGCGAGAGAGAAGAAGGTAACGAGGGTAGAGAGCGCGCCGCGTTTTGAAAGGTACCGGCAAGACATCGCTTATGGATTTTTTTCGCAGACCATCCATTACGCAATGGAAAAGCTCGAAAAACTTTTTGGCGCTTTCTCTACTTCATGACCAAAAACGCCCGTTGACCCATATCGACCTTTTAGCGCCTTTTACTTGTGGTGTCCACTCTCTTCAAATTTTTTTTTCTTTTGCTCCCCTGCCACTCCACCGTTAGCCGTCAATATCCGGCAATTTTGAGACTCTTATCACGTCTTATGCCAACGTGACTTGGAATTTAGTGTCCAGCGGAATCCTGAGAATGCGTTTATTCACTCGAGAGAGATCGTGAAATGGGGTAAAATAAAGCCGTATAGGTATCGAGGAGGTTATCGACCCATCATGGCGCCCATCATTCCTCCCATTAGTGCGCCTTGCAGCATACCACCGACAGGGTTTCCGCTGAAATTAGAAGATATTTAATGCACTTAATTGAAGCGGCCTCGGAGGTTTTGTTTGGTTAGCGGGGGATTTAAAGGGTAGATTACCC